GATTTAATCAAACTTCAAATCTTAAAATGTAAACGGTATATACATCAATGAAAGCAGATTTAGGAATATGATATTTCTTCTCAGCTTAGGCGCTTCAAATTAGGTAACACAGGAGCATGAAGTAAGTATTGCTACGTTCTTACACGTGCTTCACAATCAGAAATCCTCGGAATGTTTAAGCAGGTCTATGGACAAGGAACAATGTAGTTTTGTGACTGCTCAGCATTTGCATTTGTCTCACAGCTCTTCCTGAGTGTGAACTGGAAAGGAGATCTCCTGTGGCTGTCCTCCTCACTGTCCCAGTCGTCCGTCAGTCAGTACCTCACATTCTCAGTACTTCCCATACACTCACAGATGATCATTTTGCCTTGTCCGCAGAACTTGTCCTAAACATTACCTTTCCACATAGCTATCATCATCATCATCATCATCATCATCATCATCATCTCATCATCATCATCATCATCATCATATTTCCATCATCCAATTTTGTTGCTGCCTTTGCTCGAAAACCTTACCATTTGACCTAATATTATTTTATCCTGCAGTACTTAGTAATGAAACAAAGGTAACCGCACCGTTTCTTGCATTTGGTTTGGAAAATGTCTTTTCTCATAATTGGTAGACAATGACATTTTACTTTAAAGGAAACATATTACTCCTTGCCAAAATGAAAGTTAATGTTCATCATACTTGTGCTGTTATATACCATCTGCTTGTTAACACTGTCAAATTCTTTGAATTTGTTCATCTTAACATTCATCCTGGTATTAGGGTGTCTGACCAGATGAATATATTCATCATCAATGGTAGGGGATGTGGGATTGGACAACTGTGAGTTTTATAACATTGTCTCCCGTTGTGAGGATAAGGATGCCAAAAGCTCTACTGGTAGAGGCATTTAAATCCGCATTCATTTCTGTGACCACATTTTCCGTGAATGATGGATATTGAAATGTATGAATACCTTCCCTCTTTTCTACAGGATTTTCATAACCAGCCCTTTCAATAAGCACTGGATCCTCTGCCTCATTGCTTAGAGGCTTTACAGATGGGATCAATTGATGAATTTCATAGGTAATATATTTCAATGAGTAGTCGTTTGGTTTAAAAGTGAGTATACTATTAGCATCCTCCTGAGAAGCGCGAATACAATCTTGAGAAGCGCCCGTACAATCCTCTCGGTCGTACACCGGGCTCTTGCCACTGGGGTGAAACGGCATCACGTGGTGTATGGCTATCTGTCTGCTGCGATTCCTGGCTCGAACTGCACGAGGATTGTGCTGTATAACTGTAATAGCTAGTTGATACATAACTGTCCGAGAAAATGACGCGATTCTCGCGTGTAACTGTAGCTGAAGGAGCACGCGTTTTTAAATAGACTCTTAGCACGATTTTCCTCAGTGTAGGGCGTGTAAGATTGATATGTCCGTCTGGAAGAATGATGTTTATTTTTGTGAGATTCTCGTGATACATGTTCCTTTTCCCGAGAAGCACGGGGTGAGATAGGGCTATAGTGACTATTTTCCCTACATACAACGTGTCTTTCGTCCTGTGAACTTTCTGACCTGTGATGATGTAAATGGGACTTTTGTTTGCTTTCTGAATCATGTGATCTAGATCTTGTCGTATCCTTCAGATCTGCATGTTGTTTTAGCTTATTTATATCCTGTGATATAGCCTGGAAACGTTTGTCAAACATTTCGGACATGGTTGTTGTCAGCGATTTAGACCATTCACTCATACTCAAGGGGTAGAACGGAATAGATTTGGGCTCCAGTGTTTCTTTATAACAATTAGTGACCAAACTACCCATAGCACCCGGGCATAAGGCTGCGGTCCCAAGACCAGAGCTGGATGCCTGCTCCTTAGTTTTGGGCGGGTGGGTTGAGCAACGTGATTTTTCCTTAAAAGAAAAAACCTGGTTCTCTTTATACATCACCCCTTTAGTGCCCGTGTGTTTCTCTGAGGAAGTCAGTTTACCTGAGAGACAACACTTTTCCACATTTGATTTAGATTTAGTTTGGGTTTGGGGAGAAAACGAAACTTTTTGTCCGATGATCTTGTATTCCTCCTGGATTTTGATTTAGAACAATTTAAGGCTTTATAAAGCTTGTCAATTTTTTCCTTGACAAGTCCTTGCAGTACGTGCATCTTGATCTTGGAGTGCACGTGCTTTTTCTACAAGTACTACGTCGAGGGTGAGGGTCTCCGATCGCTAGATCAATTCCACACCCTGAGCAGACTCCCGATGACGGTAGTGGGGAGGCATCCATACCCAACACTACGTAAACTAAATCTACATACGTCAACGATCTTGCATCTTATACCACCGTTCCAGCAAGCTTGACTGACGAAGGTCGTCTGCTACAAAACTTGACGATCGTATACTGAACAACAAAAGTTCCTGTGACGTTGAATAAGATCTAATGCAAAGTTATGTTTTTTACCGAATCTGAAACAATTTCGGTTTGCAACAGATAAAAGACTCCTGTAAGTGTTCAAAGGGTTTAATTTGCCATACTGACTTCAGAAAATGCGTGATTTCATTAAAAAAAACATGAACATGCCAAAATGTCAATTTACAAATCAATGGCGTGTGTGTCCACCTCTGGTTGCGATGCAAGCAACACATCTTCGTCTCATGGAATGGAGTCCTGTGTGATATCTGGCCATATCTGCTTGAGCATGTTTCGAAGTTCCTGGAGCGTCTGTGGAACACGTGGTTGACGTCGAAGGCGCCGATTCATCTCATCCCACATGTGCTCGATTGGTGAGAGATCAGGGGAGCGAGCCGGCCAGGGGATGACATTCACGTTGTTTTGTTGAAGGGAATCCTGAACAAGTCGAGCAATATGAGGCCGGGCGTTGTCATGTTGAAAGGTAATGCCTGGGCCATGACGACGCAAAAACGGTAGAACATCAGGGCCGATGATCTCGTCGCGTTAGCGCTGTCCATTGAGATTTCCCTCTACCACTATCAAACGGATCCTCTGTCTTGCTGTAATCCCACCCCATACCATAACGCTGCCGACCCCGAACCGATCTTCTTCCATGACACAATGATTGACGTAACGTTCATCTGGACGTCGGTACACTCGAATCCGTCCATCGCTGTGGCTGAGGTGAAAACGAGACTCGTCAGTGAATAGAACTTGTCCCCACTGCATGGCGTAGACGCTGTCTGCACCACTGTAGCCTTGCTTGACGGTGGTTTCCTGTCAAAATGGGACGTCTGGTGGGTCTTCTGGATACAATCACTGCACATCTGAGGCGACGACGTATGATTGTGAAGATATTCGTCCAAGGCCAGTGATGCTTCTTGCAGTCACTGTTGCTGGCTGGAATCGATTTCGTAGGTGTGTTGTTCGAATCCAGTTGTCTTGTTGATTATTGGTTACGCGTGGCCTGCCACTCCGAGGATTGTCTCTGACTGCATTCGTCTGTTGCCAACGTTGCCATAAACACCAAATGGTGTTTCTGTGGACGTTAAATTGTCTTGCAACATCACGTTGACTCGATCCTGCTTCAAGCATACCAATGGCTCGCAGACGCTCATTTTCGGACAGGCGTGGCATTTCGTAATGTTGAATAATTGCGTAATTTGGTGTTTTTCAGCACGATGCTAAACAATGCAAATGGAATCCAGTTAACGCACATGTTTTTATACCCATTCTTGGGTAGTGAAATGCATGGGACTTGCACAAAAGTCAACTTTTGCATTGAATGCATGCTTTCCTGTAGCAGTTGCGTTTTTGTGACTTGATTCCATACATGTACTACAATATTGAAAACCAAACTTTACTTGTTGGAAAAATACACTAAAATATTGGTGTCACAGAAACTTTTGTTGTTGAGTATAGGTTGTCTGCTATAATCCAATGATGATCGTAGGTTGACTGTTGTAATCTTTTAGATCTATACTAGCTGTGAATTATTATCCAAAAACGTGTTTGGATTGATGAGCAAAAACTTTTGCTAGTTGATGTTTTCCCGCCTTGCGCATGCGCAGATGCAGTTTGACAAGGGATAGGGTTTACCTCAAAACTGTTGGATAATTGGCAGTGAAGAAGACCTCTGTTGAAAAATCTAAAGATTTTATAGTGTGATTATTGCCAAAATGGGAATTTATGGCTATGTTATAATAGAGGTAGGATATTCGTAGAAATTATGAGCTCTGCTAGAAGGGGTCTCTAAAACAAACTGACTGACTGAATAATGGTGGGAAGGGGGTTCTGGTGATATGTAAAGATTGTTCTTCAGTGAGTTGGGAACCGATTAAAAATTAAGAAGAGACTATCATCCAGGGTTTGAGGCCCATTTTCACTTATGTCGATAGTAGGTGTAGAGGTTGCAAAAAGTGTTTGGTTTGGAACTTATACCATGTAGATTTTTGTGATGAGGGTTATCATCAACTGATCATTAGCAAACAAACTGGATTTTTGAAGACTTAAATCAAACATGCTGGGACTACTTATGTGCCCATGTCTAATCTCAACTTCAGCGTTTTAACCTTGTGTGATCTATGATGTGATTGTACGAGATAACAAGGGTACAAGAATCAACGCCATATTGTTCTGTGACATCATGTTTCTAGGGAAGTCAATATTTGCCACTGCTTTGGCATCATGTATGCAAATGTGTCGACCATTTACAACTAACGTAGCCTGATAACTGGTCTTGAGTAAAACTTTGATATATGTACTTTCATCATGAAAAATCATGAAAACAAAGCAAAACAAAAAGAATAAAAATCCCAAATCATCAAAAGGCACCAGTTCCCTTCTAGACTGATCTATATAGAAAGTTTTAACAAGAAATATTTAACGGTTTTGCCGTTCTGCTCTGGAAACAGAAAACGAATCACCAGACGGATTGACATGGTGATCGTTTTATATGGACATGGTGATCATGATATAAAATTATCGTTACATCGATATAATAATATACAATGAGATCCATAGTACTATGATGCCACCACGATAAACAATAATATGAAGTTCAAGTTGTATGACTTTATTATCACATGCATCCTTCATATAACGTCTGTATTCAGCATAACACAAATGTGATTCTAAATACACCTTTCAACTGAAGTAAGTCGCCTAATAAACAGTACAAAAACAAACCTCTGGATGATATTCACTGAAAATATTTTTACTTCATCAAAATTACTGTCATCAATCTTGTAGGTCTTATTTTGCTACCAAAATATCTAAATATCCATAATACTCAACACAATAAATTATTGTTCAAACAAGGGCCCTGTTCCAAAATGGAATCTTAAAACTAAGATGAAAATAATTCCAAAACTTTAACCTAGACTGAAGAAAGTTGTAGGACCAAGGGTCCCATTCAACAAAGAGATTTGAGTGCAATGACTGTCGTAAGTCTCCCTTTAAGTGTGGAAGGCATAATGGTTATCTTGCAGGCAAGATCACTTTGTGAATCTGGACCCGGATCATTAAATCATTCATGGTTGGTTGGGGTTTTTTTTCTTGTTTAACGCCGCACTCAGCAATATTCCAGCTATATGACGGCGGTCTGTAAATAATCGAGTCTGGGCCGATAAATATGAGTGATAAATATCATGAGCATCGATCCACGCAATAGGGACCACCTGATCCCATTAGTCGCCTCTTACGACAAGCACATCATTCATGAACAGACCCGATGTTAACAGGGCAAGTGTCAATCAAATTAATGATTAAATCAGTTTTAGTTAATGAAATGATATTGAATCAACCTGTACATGATGTAAGCAGTTGTTTTACAATAACTTGTAACATTAGTCAGACTATACTAGGTTAAATTTATTTATAGAAACATTTCTTACAAAAAACAGACCTTGTGATTCCACAAAATTTGTAAACTGTTCATATTTAATAATAATAATAATATAAAGAATGATAAAATATCTCATGTGGTAATGTTCAACATTTAACTGAACACTCTCTATTTGCTCAAAATGAAGTGATTCCATAACATTTATTTTCTTTCACATCTGAAGCATCATCAATGTGCACAGAAAAGAAATGTTCATCTTTTTAGCCGTTAATATTTACTACTGCATCACAGTTCACACACAAAATTTATATTGACAGCTGGTCCTTCAAGTAACATTTACCAACTCAGCAGCCATTTTGGCCATCCAGTGTCCAATAACAATGATTTCAGGTATGGAGTCTGTGATGGCCTGGAATCAACCCAGTGAGCTGGCCAGCTACCTATCATCAAAAACTGCTTGGTCTTTTCTAGGCAGTGTCCATTTTTGCTATTTTACACCTCTTCAGTTTTAGCACTTGCACGTACCCTGCAGTCAGAGCATTTCGATTTGTCCCAGAGCCTGCTAGTTTCTTGGCTCCTGTAGCATGTGGTCTAGAAGACTTCACTGTAAGATCCCTCACTGTCCGAGCCTTCCCCGTCCTTACTGTCACCGCCTGCCTCGCTTTGGTTGTCCATTTCCTGTATGAAGAAGTCAGGAAGCGCTCATAATGAAGAAAGGTTTGATGTCAATAAGTATTTCCCTTTGCATGACAATTATTTAAAAGCAAATGAGCAAGAATTCCAAGTATACATTATCACACACACTAACAAGAGGGGGCATGGGTGGCCCAGTCGTCTAAGGAGCCACAATTCGCTGTGCAGAGTTGCATCCCTTGGGCACGCCAGAAACCTATGATTGTGGGTTCGAATCCTGATTCGCCCTGATTATGTTTCTAGGTTTGTCAGCACCATACCCGTGCTCGTGGGTTTCACCGAAGTGGTAAACATCTGAGACCTGCATCACTTCAGGCTTTCCTCCCACATTAATCTGACACGCCGTGATATAACTGGAATACTGTTAAAAGCGGCTTTAACCCAACTCACTCATTAAGTAAAATATGGTGAAAGTCAAAATCAAATATTTAGAGTAAACTTTTGAACTGAAGTGAAACCCTGTTTGTTTTGTCTGATTGCTGAGAACATCAATACATACAAATTCTTTGATTGGTAATCCAGGTTATTTCCAGTAAAGGTATATGTACTGTCAGAATTAACAGCATACAACATACTTTCACACATGACATGCTACGTATTGAATACAGAATACATAGAGAAGCTTTAGATGACAAATCTATGTGAAAACACCCAACGGCAATCGTCTCAGAGATATCTGTGAGAGCCATATTGTGACGACTGTCCACATGTCACAACTGTTATGAGAAGGCAGAGGAGGATCAAGGGAAATAACTCCAGCTAGTGACCATAGTACAAGGGGCCACTTTTCACTCTGTCATAGATATCTAAATAATAAAGGAAATTGAACACTGTTGTATCTGGATTAGAAATAATTTACAAAACTGATTGACCCACAGCAAATAATTTCACACATTTACAAAAATATCAGCCATCATAATTAACCTGTCATTAAAACCTGTAGAAAACCACATATATCAAGAGTCTACTCAATGAAACTTTCAGACATACTCCATTGTTTTATTTGTCGTAGGATTTGTCTAAGGACTGAGTGAACAAAAGGATTTACAGACTTTATATCTTTTTCAATGATGATTCAAATTTAAGGCATTTCCAAGTTGGACTGCCAAATTCAAGACCTTTACATGCCTGCAGTGCGAACCTTTTACAGTGAAAACACTCTAATGTGACCTTAATTTGTTTTGCAAACTAAATCATTACTGTGTGTCACCTACCACGTCACTTTCTTCATCTTCATCAACAGGGACTGCATCTCCATCCTCTTCTTCACTGTCATTCGTCACTGTAGAGACCTGGGATAGGATTTCTTCTCCCTGACAAATATACCACATAATGTTATCAGTGTGTGTGTCACGTTCCATCACACACGCACACACGCACACATGCACACACACACACTCTCAACTTAATGATGGGTATATTTATATACACTGATAGCGAAATAAATCTGCTATATATCCTTGGCCGGAGATAATCGACACTGACAGGGCAAGATGACACCCAATCAGCCAAGGAACAGTTTGTAGCCAACAGATCCTCACCCACCTAACAACAAGCAGGGGCAGCTGCGGATCTATCCTGCCCCAGAATCCCAGAGGGTGTTGATAATGAAGCCTTACCTGCAGATCCCTGTTTTTCAGGTTGCCCATCCAGAAAGCCTCCAGACACTTGTTGAGGGTCAACATCGCCTTCACTCTGTAGACGAACGCCTCCAGTCCTCGCTTCAACATGGGCACCTGATTCGTCAGCGAGACATCACGGATTATCTGCAATCAGGTTTAAAATAATTACTGTCAGAACTGAAGTCAGATAATGTGATGGGATATATGCAGAGTGAAAACATGTTATCTCAAAGTCATCAGGAAAATGCTACAAATGCCACATAAATGTTCAAGGAAGAGGGGTACACTGTGGTGTTTGCACTACTGTTGAGGAAGAAAGACTACAGTCCTGGAAGAATACAGGGGAGGCTAAAGCTGGGGAAGTTACAGTAACACTGAACTTAGACCTGTCAGTGACTGCAAACATGGAAACACAAGAACATAGTTACAACACAACAGCTGTAAGCATTGTTTTACATACCACTTCAACCAAACAACGGAGCTAAATCTTAAGTAATAAAATACCAGTGAGTGAGTAGTAAAAAGGACATATACATGCTGTGTTTTCCTTGCAAGCCGTGTAAGGTTTCATTGTCCTGTAAGTACATTGTCTCGGGCAATTTCTAACATGTTTTCTGCACAAAATGATTTGACACACATACTTGGAAAATTGTAGTTTGATGCCCCCAGTGCAAATACATGACAGTGTATGCTAATGTTTGTTTGTTTGTTGTTTAACGCCGCACTTAGCAATATTCCAGCTATATGTGATGATGGTCTGATGATCAAGTTTGGACCAAACAATACAAAGATTGACATGACATGCATTAACGAGCCTGTCCAGATCTTCTTGTATATGTTTATGAACCAGACAGCCTCTATCCACTATTCAATACTCCTGTTAAAAGGAGCGCCCCTGACCTTGGAGTGGCTGGACACATGGTGGAGCGCTCGGGTGCTCATCTGGAAGCTCTTGAGGAGATTCTGGACATCCTCCCTGTTAGTCTTGAACATACAGTCCAGCAGCGGCATGCCTTGTCTGAGGAACACCTCCAGGAACATTCGTCCATACTGCAGGCAGGAGACATAAAGAGTAGGGTACACAATGCACTTCTGGTATAATGGTATTTTTGGTATATTTTATGAATTTTACCAAAATTCCCGAAAATTTAAGCCATCTTTCATAATGTGACCTCTGATGATCTTGACCTTATAGGGAGGTCACCCAAAATGCGATCAAAATTCCACTCTATACAACATGCATAGTTTCGTTAAAGTTACTATTAAGAAAAAAAGAAATAGCAGATCATCCAAGTCCTATTATCAAACTCTTACCTTCAAAGCTGTACCCATGTTTGATCTGCCATCAAATGTCTGTAAAACAGGTTTAGAGTACTTAAATTAAAAAGCGGTCTGTGATCCTTAATGATTTCTTCTTTAGTCAATTAAGGGCCTCCTTAAATCTTTTATGTTAAACATTAGTCCTAAACACTGGTTTAATTAAGTCACCTGAGATATTTTCGACGATGATACCTTGTCACTTGGTATATTTTCAAGTACATGACTATTTGCAACATCATTCACTGCTAAAGATTACAAAAACTGTCCTACTTTGATGAGGTTGACGAAGATGTGCAGGATCCTGACTGCCGAGTTCCACTGCAGCAACCTCTCCACCTTCAGCTGTGAAACATCAACAATGGTGCACTGAGAAACACGAACAAATACAGAGGCCATGTGTGCCACACTCATTTGTCTCTTCCTCCTTCAAAACAACACAATCACACAATGTACACTAAGCCACCAGACCCATGAAGATTTGGGTTAGAATAGGTCAGCAACCCATACTAACAGGATCAAGTGGTCAGGCTCGCTGACTCCGTTGATGTATGTCTTTACATCCTAATTGCATGGATTGATGCTCATGATATCAATCACTGGATTATCAGGCCAGACTCGATTACTACTGCCATCGTATAGCTGGAATAATGCTGAGCGCGCCTTTTAACAACAAACAAACAAACAAACTAAGCTACCATGGCTTGGCCGTCTTTAACTTGTCTTTCATATTTTCAATTTAACCTCCAACAGTACGACATCTACACTATCCAACTAGCCCAAAGTGAGAATCCACAGGACTAGTCACAGTCTAACACTATGCTCCTCCATCACCAATGAATGCATTTGGTTACTATGTGAGGTACCGTAATCGTTATTGTTAAACCAACAAAGCTAGCAAAGAGCTGATTCCAGCTAGGGGTAAGCTAGTGATTGCTCAGACCAGTGAACGCTCTATTACTAGTTACACCTACATGAATGGTTCCTGCTTGATAACGTGTGCAATATGTGCCTGCCAACCACAGGCTATAGACACTGCCCAGGACACTGACCAGAGCAGGGCTCAGTTGATGTTCATGAGTTATTAACAGCCTCATGTTATTAGTTTACTTAAAAAATAAATGTTATTACTAAACTGGTCAACAAGTGTAAGGATATTTCCAAGTGGCATGTCATGGAACATTAACTGACTTTTTACCACAATAACTTACGTCTCTCGACTCACTGAGTTTCCCAGCTGGGAGTCTCTTGATGACCTCGATCAGCTCACTGAACAGCACTCGGTAGTACACAGAGAAGGAGTGCCTGAAACAAGACATGATGACCTCAGTAGTACACAGAGAAGGAGTGTCTGAAACAAGACAGGATGACCTCGGGAGTACACAGAGAAGGAGTGTCTGAAACAAGACATGATGACCTCAGTAGTACACAGAGAAGGAGTGTCTGAAACAAGACAGGATGACCTCGGTAGTACACAGAGAAGGATTGCCTGAAACGAGACAGGATGACCTCAGTAGTACACAGAGAAGGAATGTCTGAAACAAGACAGGATGACCTCGGTAGTACACAGAGAAGGAGCGTCTGAAACAAGACAGGATGACCTCGGTAGTACACAGAGAAGGAGTGTCTGAAACAAGACATGATGACCTCAGTAGTACACAGAGAAGGAATGTCTGAAACAAGACATGATGACCTCGGTAGTACACAGAGAAGGAATGTCTAAAACAAGACATGATGACCTCGGGAGTACACAGAGAAGGAGTGTCTGAAACAAGACATGATGACCTCAGTAGTACACAGAGAAGGAGTGTCTGAAACAAGACATGATGACCTCGGGAGTACACAGAGAAGGAGTGTCTGAAACAAGACAGGATGACCTCGGTAGTACACAGAGAAGGAGTGTCTGAAACAAGACATGATGACCTCGGTAGTACACAGAGAAGGAGTGTCTGAAACAAGACATGATGACCTCGGTAGTACACAGAGAAGGAGTGTCTGAAACAAGACATGATGACCTCGGTAGTACACAGAGAAGGGGTGTCTGAAACAAGACATGATGACCTCAGTAGTACACAGAGAAGGAGTGTCTGAAACAAGACAGGATGACCTCGGGAGTACACAGAGAAGGAGTGTCTGAAACAAGACATGATGACCTCAGTAGTACACAGAGAAGGAGTGTCTGAAACAAGACAGGATGACCTAGGTAGTACACAGGGAAGGAGTGTCTGAAACAAGACAGGATGACCTCGGTAGTACACAGAGAAGGAGTGTCTGAAACAAGACAGGATGACCTCGGTAGTACACAGAGAAGGAGTGTCTGAAACAAGACAGGATGACCTGGGTAGTACACAGAGAAGGAGTTTCTGAAACAAGACAGGATGACCTCAGTAGTATGGAGTGTCTTGACATATTGTAGCTCACCTTGTCTAAGAGTGGTTCTGACATTCTGTAGCTCAACTTGTCTGAGAGCGGATCTGACATACTCTACCTCGAGATTGGTTCTGAAATGATGTAGCTCACCTTGCCCGATAACCATTTTGACACACTGTAGATACCTTGTCCAAGTGAGGTTCTGACATATTTTAGCTCACCTTGTTAGAGAGGGGTAGGAATTGGAGCGTCCATTCTTGTCTGCCTCGATCAGCTCCCGAGTTCCTTTTGTTAGTTCCTCAATGGCCTCCAGGGGATCAGCCGAGTACACCAGGAACATCCTGGAAATACAAAAATGTCTCATACTTAATGCTGACAACATTTGATCCTCGAACACATCTGGCTATTAACATGATGAGGATGTGAATTTTCAATCTTGTTGATAATGGAGAAGGTTGACAAATTGAATGGATTTTAACAATAGATGCATGTTTTGTTGTGTTGACTTACTTGATGACAATCTGTAATTGTTCGTTGTGTTTCGCCCCCTTCTCTCTCTGGCCATCCGAGCTGAACCATTCCCGTTTCAGAAACTCCTCAGCAAGCTCAGCTACAAGAGAGATGAAAACTTATGCTAATTCTATCACACAAACTCATTCATATGCACTCTGGAATAACAACATGATATTGTGATGTTGAGCATAACAGTGATTACTAAATTATCCCATCCCACTCTTATATATCTTACCAATTGAGGAAAAACGTTTTTTGATTTTCAGATATGTTTTTTAAAATTTCTGGTCAGTGATACCATCAAGAAAATACATCCCAATGCCCTCACCAACTTTTCCACTAAGCTCTGGTAAGGCTGTCTTCTCCACCAGTGCCATCAACAGTCTCAGCAGCGTCACCGCCGCAGGGAGATTCGACACTGTAGCGGCAAAGTTCTGGCAGTAATTGAAGGCTCCCCTATAACAGAGGCATTGTACAGTCAAGTCTATGGCAGAAAACTACTTACATCTTCATACAGTAGATGCAGCACTATATTCGAGTGCTGAAAAGGAAACAATACTGTGCAATTTGTCAGAGCAAACATTTCTACACAATATCATACACAGAAGTGAGTTATCACATTTCATGGAGGTCAACTGGTCATGAGGATGTATCAGCACACCACACATGTACTGCATGCAAACATAGAAGGCTAAAGATGTCAGCATGACTGAATACTAACAATAAATCTGATGATTTGAACAAAACATGATGTCATCATTACAAGAAACATACAAGCAATGGTCAGCTCTCTCATCCAAATGGCCCCATAACAGAATTTAAGAGCATCCTCAAAGCAATTTCAAAATTTGAAATACTGCAAAAAACAGGACATGTGTGTTGACACTAAACAAATACCAAAAATAATTGCATTCTGAACATAAAATGATGAGGAATGTCCATAAGGAGTTTCAAAATTTAAAGTATTGAAAAAATACCCCCTGGAACATAAATATTGAGTCCCAGTACTAGCTACTCAAGAGCTTAATTCCATTCCATTCTTTACAAAAATGACTGAGCAATGACCATTGATAGCTATTTCAATATGGCTGATGAGTCTACTATATTGAAAATTGGATCAAAATTCTGGAACCAAAAAAAGGTATCCTAATTAGTGGGGATAAGAAAGTGATATTTCTGCTTCATTGGTTCAGTGGTTTCTGAGGAAATAATGTTTACAATGTGACAAAATATATTTCCAGAGAATTTATCGGCTTTGTATAAAGGTCAAAATAAAAGGTCAAAATCTAAAATATGGCAAGAAACAGAACATAGTGTTGAGCCCCACTAACTACACATGTACCACATACAACAAACATGGCTGAGTGATGGCCAAAAGGAGTTTCACCTTGCAGTATGGTCGAAGTCTTTTTTGTTTGTTTTGTTTGTTGTTTAACGCAGCACTCAGCAATATCCAGGCTCTATGACTGCGGTCTGTAGCTAATCGAGTCTGGACCAGATAATCCAGTGATTGACATCATGAGCATTGATCCACGCAATTGGGAAACAATGACACGCATCAACCAAGTCATCGAGCCTGACCACCCGATCCCATTAGTCGCCTCTTACGACAAACATAATCGCTTTTTACGGCAAGCATGGGTTGCTGAAGACTTATTCTACCCCGGATCTTCACGGGTCATATGGTCGAAGTGCAAAGGTCAAATCAAGGTAAAAAAAATTAAAATATTGCAAACACTTTTCACCTGACAAGGTCATGGAAGGAGGACTGGGAGCTGCTGCTGCTGGTCTTGATGCGGGACACCAGGATATTCAGTCCATCCTTCAACAACTGCCGGTTCTCAGCCATCACAAAACCATTCCTGGAAGAAGAATATGCCACTGATATCTAGGCCTGTACCAGTAAATCAATATACAAGTCAAGAACAAGTGTCAAAACACTTCTACCAAAACAAAACCTTTATTTCGGGTTATACTTTCATAATGTGTAGGTTCAAAAAATTCAACTGACTGAAGCAAAAATCCATAATTGGAAAATATAATAAACACAAAGTTAATCATACCAAATGAAAGTCAACTTTTTAAGTGATAATGGATCCAACATATTGTATGTAGTCTCTGGCCAGTACAAACCTCTTATCACTTCTCCATGTAAATACATGTTACTTTAAACACACCAACATGATTAAACATCATACTCTTCATACAGAATAAGGATATATTTTTTTCAACCTCATTTTTGGTCAACTTCAAAGGCTTTTCTAGTCATACATGGGTACCAAGTAGGAAAGTCATATAGGGTTGTTGGTTACCATGAGAACAGAGACAGCAGTGCCTGCAGCAGGAGTTTGAAGCAGGATCCCATCAACATGGCCTCCGGGGAGTTGCTTCCCGGGCCGTCCAGCATGCCGTCATTCTCCGATATCAGGGTCTGAACACACAAGCAGCACAAACATCATAGCTGAGATACCTACATGTGCTCCACTCTGAAATCTGTACACTTGGAATTCAGAATTTAATATTCCAAAAGTTACAATGATTATCAAATGGGGTTGCTCCAGTTCAAGAAAACAAACTTTGTGCAATGACTTTCATAATATGTCCATGTTGTAAGATGGAAGTTGTAAGCCATATCTCTTACACAATCCCCTGGAAGAACCCACTGGTGCCCCCTCCCCTCAGTAGACCTACCTGGAAGAACCCACTGGTGCCCCCTCCCCTCAGTAGACCTACCTGGAAGAACCCGCTGGTGCCCCCTCCCCTCAGTAGACCTACCTGGAAGAACCCACTGGTGCCCCCTCCCCTCAGTAGACCTACCTGGAAGAACCCACTGGTGCCCCCTCCCCTCAGTAGACCTACCTGGAAGAACCCACTGGTGCCCCCTCCCCTCAGTAGACCTACCTGGAAGAACCCACTGGTGCCCCCTCCCCTCAGTAGACCTACCTGGAAGAACCCACTGGTGCCCCCTCCCCTCAGTAGACCTACCTGGAAGAACCCACTGGTGCCCCCTCCCCTCAGTAGACCTAACTGGAAGAACCCACTGGTGCCCCCTCCTCTCAGTAGACCTACCTGGAAGAACCCACTGGTGCCCCCTCCTCTCAGTAGACCTACCTGGAAGAACCCACTGGTGCCCCCTCCCCTCAGTAGACCTACCTGGAAGAACCCACTGGTGCCCCCTCCTCTCAGTAGACCTACCTGGAAGAACCCACTGGTGCCCCCTCCTCCCAGTAGACCTACCTGGAAGAACCCACTGGTGCCCCCTCCCCTCAGTAGACCTACCTGGAAGAACCCACTGGTGCCCCCTCCCTTCAGTAGACCTACCTGGAAGAACCCACTGGTGCCCCCTCCCCTCAGTAGACCTACCTGGAAGAACCCACTGGTGCCCCCTCCTCCCAGTAGACCTACCTGGAAGAACCCACTGGTGCCCCCTCCTCTCAGTAGACCTACCTGGAAGAACCCACTGGTGCCCCCTCCTCTCAGTAGACCTACCTGGAAGAACCCACTGGTGCCCCCTCCTCCCAGTAGACCTACCTGGAAGAACCCACTGGTGCGCCCTCCCCTCAGTAGACCTACCTGGAAGAACCCACTGGTGCCCCCTCCCCTCAGTAGACCTACCTGGAAGAACCCACTGGTGCGCCCTCCTCTCAGTAGACCTACCTGGAAGAACCCACTGGTGCGCCCTCCTCCCAGTAGACCTACCTGGAAGAACCCACTGGTGCGCCCTCCCCTCAGTAGACCTACCTGGAAGAACCCACTGGTGCGCCCTCCTCCCAGTAGACCTACCTGAAAGAACCCACTGGTGCGCCCTCCTCCCAGTAGACCTACCTGGAAGAACCCACTGGTGCGCCCTCCCCTCAGTAGACCTACCTGGAAGAACCCACTGGTGCCCCCTCCTCTCAGTAGACCTACCTGGAAGAACCCACTGGTGCCCCCTCCTCCCAGTAGACCTACCTGGAAGAACCCACTGGTGCCCCCTCCTCTCAGTAAACCTACGTGGAAGAACCCACTGGTGCGCCCTCCCCTCAGTAGACCTACCTGGAAGAACCCACTGGTGCCCCCTCCCCTCAGTAGACCTACCTGGAAGAACCCACTGGTGCCCCCTCCCCTCAGTAGACCTACCTGGAAGAACCCACTGGTGCCCCCTCCCCTCAGTAGACCTAACTGGAAGAACCCACTGGTGCCCCCTCCTCTCAGTAGACCTACCTGGAAGAACCCACTGGTGCCCCTCAGCAGACCTACCTTGAAGAACCCACTGGTGCCCCCTCCCCTCAGCAGACCTACCTGGAAAAACGCACTGGTGCCCTCAAGGTGCTCACACAGAGGCGGCAACAGGTGGATCATGTTGGTTGCAATCTCAGTGGCTGTGTACTGGTCCAGGTGAGAGAATCCAACACTCTTGTCAGCCTTGGTCTAAACAAAACAGGGATAAACAAAAACCTTATTTTCTCTTTCAGCTTCATACAAATAACAACACCCAAAAGTATTCATCAATGATGAGGACCTGTATCTCAACAGTGCCATGTAGTACCCTAGTTGGTGTCAGTGAGCAGCTGTTGTGAGTGAGACAGCAAGTGAGTATGACAGTGAACAAGTTTTCCACCTCTTAAGAAGTTGTACAGCAATATCACTGTAACTGGTAATCCAGGACAAGTTGAACCAACTCACAAAACATGTCTGAGACAAGATGGCTGAGCACAGAATTTGGGCAAACATATTTGGTTTGTTACAGGTAGAGAGGGTGTACCCATGTTGTACACATGCAGGTCATGACGAAGAACTTGACTATGCTCCTGTGGACAACCATATTGCTCATGAAACTATTAAGAGGTCGGTGTGACAAGTCAATACCAGAATTCTCTAAAAGCTGTTTGATAGAAGTTGATTACAAACAAATAAACATGTCAAAGAAGGGTAAACATGTCAAAGAAGGGTAAACATGACCATTCTCAGTCACGAGAATTGGCCTATAATGTCATAAAATACATGGAGAAAGAATGTACATATAAATCTCAAGCATTGTCAAAAGCTGGCATTGCGACTGGTCCGTCTGTGTCTACGCTAAAGCGCATCAGAGCAGAAAGTATAGCTTGTGAAATGTGCCGTCACCATTTCCACAGTCATCAGGTACCTCGCATCATCATGTGCTAGTGAACTCGCCACCAGAACCTGTGTGCCGAGACAGGACACGCACATTTCCATCGTATTACTTGTTGTGGTCCACTCGCTATCCCTTTCATCACAATGGGACCTCATACAAAGTCATGAGGGGTTAACTGTCCGGTCACCACCCAACTTATCTTGGCTTACCATAACCATACTTACACAATCCTGCACTGTTCTCATATGTGTTATGACACCTTGACCTTAAAGTCTATTACAGCATGATTAGTATTTTTTGCTGCAGTCAGGATTATTACAGCTCTATCAAGGCAGCCTGTAAATAATAAAGAAAAACTACTGGGCAATATACCAGTAATAATTGGTTGGTTGGTTTGTTTGTTGTTTAAAGCCGCACTCAGCAATTTTCCAGCTATATGACGGCGGTCTGTAAATAATAGAGTCATGACCAGACAATCCAGTGATTAAGATCGTGAGCATCCCTCCACGCAATTGGGATCGATGACATGCATCAACCAAGTCAGCGAGCCTGACCAGCCAATCCCGTTAGTCGCCTTTTACAACAAGCATGTGTCGCTGAAGACCTATTCTACCCGGGATCTTCATGGGTCATACCGGTAATGAGCAACATCCCACGACATCTGTGTGCACACAATCAACCAAGGCTTACCTTACCCTCAATCTAATTTAGTCGGTTGCCACAACAAGCAATAGAGTGTTGGGGACCTATTCTATCATGGTCCAGTTTCCAGACTTTCATCTGATGGACGAAGTATGTGCACTCACCTTCAGGAAGGTCCTGCGTTTAGCAGCCGAGGCTAGCAGCGAGTGGTCAAGCTTTCTGGTCAAGTCCTTCAACAGGAATTCCAACTGTGGTGGCTGTATCTGAAGATCTTCCGTTGCCTGCAAGACACACACAAAGTGAACTACACGTATCAGTACAGGCAGGATCAAGATTCAAGTAAAAATCCAGGTGTGATGAAAACAAAGTTTATTACCAATTGTTAATCGTTTATGATGACACACTGTCAGCGGTGCTGGGAATAATGTGGTCACCATCAAAATACTACCTATATCAGCCATTGCTGCAGGCAAATCCCTTTTTCAGTCACCTCTTACCATAAGTATGATGTACTAAGAATGATGTCTGCCCCAGAAATCCCAACATCAAATGCAGTGAATGTAAAACTGATCAACTCGTACCTTTGTGTTCATCTCAGAGTCAAGGGCTGCCTTGGTGATGAGGCCCGTGCTCAGGATGGTGAACACACTAACATCCAGCTCCCTACAAGGAGAAAAAGAACTAGTGGTGGTCTGGAGTTTTCAAAAGTAGATGCTATTTACATCAGAACATGGCAGGTAAATTGAAGAATAATGAAGGGATGAAAAAAAATCGAAGATATTAGAAAACGCAACCAAAGTTGCATGTAGGTGGACGGACTGATCTGAAGTACTGTGTGTAGGTGGACAGACTGACCTGAAGTACTGCATGTAGGTAGGTGGACAGACTGACCTGAAGTACTGTGTAGGTGGACAGACTGACCTGAAGTACTGTGTAGGTGGACAGACTGACCTGAAGTACTGTGTAGGTGGACAGACTGACCTGAAGTACTGCATGTAGGTGGACAGACTGACCTGAAGTACTGTGTAGGTGGACAGACTGACCTGAAGTACTGTGTAGGTGGACAGACTGACCTGAAGTACTGTGTAGGTGGACAGACTGACCTGAAGTACTGTGTGTAGGTGAACAGACTGACCTGAAGTACTGTGTGTCGGTGGACAGACTGACCTGAAGTACTGTGTGTCGGTGGACAGACTGACCTGAAGTACTGTGTGTAGGTGGACAGACTGACCTGAAGTACTGTGTGTAGGTGGACAGACTGACCTGAATTACTGTGTGTAGGTGGACAGACTGACCTGAAGTACTGTGTGTCGGTGGACAGACTGACCTGAAGTACTGCATGTAGGTGGACAGACTGACCTGAAGTACTGCATGTAGGTGGACAGACTGACCTGAAGTGCTGTGTGTAGGTGGACAGACTGACTTGAAGTACTGTGTGTCGGTGGACAGACTGACCTGAATTACTGCGTGTAGGTGGACAGACTGACCTGAAGTACTGTGTGTAGGTGGACAGACTGACCTGAATTACTGTGTGTAGGTGGACAGACTGACCTGAAGTACTGCATGTAGGTGGACAGACTGACCTGAAGTACTGCATGTAGGTGGACAGACTGACCTGAAGTAATGTGTGTAGGTGGACAGACTGACCTGAATTACTGCATGTAGGTGTACAGACTGACCTGAAGTGCTGTGTGTAGGTGGACAGACTGACCTGAAGTACTGCATGTAGGTGGACAGACTGACCTGAAGTACTGTGTGTAGGTGGACAGACTGACCTGAAGTGCTGTGTGTAGGTGGACAGACTGACCTGAAGTACTGTGTGTAGGTGGACAGACTGACCTGAAGTACTGTGTGTAGGTGGACAGACTGACCTGAAGTACTGTGTGTCGGTGGACAGACTGACCTGAAGTACTGTGTGTCGGTGGACAGACTGACCTGAAGTACTGTGTGTAGGTGGACAGACTGACCTGAAGTACTGTGTGTAGGTGGACAGACTGACCTGAAGTACTGCGTGTAGGTGGACAGACTGACCTGAAGTACTGCATGTAGGTGGACAGACTGACCTGAAGTACTGTGTGTAGGTGGACAGACTGACCTGAAGTGCTGTGTGTAGGTGGACAGACTGACCTGAAGTACTGTGTGTCGGTGGACAGACTGACCTGAAGTGCTGTGTGTAGGTGGACAGACTGACCTGAAGTACTGTGTGTAGGTGGACAGACTGACCTGAAGTGCTGTGTGTAGGTGGACAGACTGACCTGAAGTACTGCATGTAGGTGGACAGACTGACCTGAAGTACTGTGTGTAGGTGGACAGACTGACCTGAAGTGCTGTGTGTCGGTGGACAGACTGACCTGAAGTGCTGTGTGTCGGTGGACAGACTGACCTGAAGTACTGTGTGTAGGTGGACAGACTGACCTGAAGTGCTGTGTGTCGGTGGACAGACTGACCTGAAGTACTGCGTGTAGGTGGACAGACTGACCTGAAGTACTGCATGTAGGTGGACAGACTGACCTGAAGTACTGTGTGTAGGTGGACAGACTGACCTGAAGTGCTGTGTGTAGGTGGACAGACTGACCTGAAGTACTGTGTGTCGGTGGACAGACTGACCTGAAGTACTGTGTGTAGGTGGACAGACTGACCTGAAGTGCTGTGTGTAGGTGGACAGACTGACCTGAAGTACTGCATGTAGGTGGACAGACTGACCTGAAGTACTGTGTGTAGGTGGACAGACTGACCTGAAGTACTGTGTGTAGGTGGACAGACTGACCTGAAGTACTGTGTGTAGGTGGACAGACTGACCTGAAGTACTGTGTGTAGGTGGACAGACTGACCTGAAGTACTGTGTGTCGGTGGACAGACTGACCTGAAGTGCTGTGTGTAGGTGGACAGACTGACCTGAAGTACTGTGTGTAGGTGGACAGACTGACCTGAAGTACCGTGTGTAGGTGGACAGACTGACCTGAAGTGCTGTGTGTAGGTGGACAGACTGACCTGAAGTACTGTGTGTAGGTGGACTGACTGACCTGAAGTGCTGTGTGTAGGTGGACAGACTGACCTGAAGTACTGTGTGTAGGTGGACAGACTGACCTGAAGTACTGTGTGTAGGTGGACAGACTGACCTGAAGTACTGCGTGTAGGTGAACAGACTGACCTGAAGTACTGTGTGTCGGTGGACAGACTGACCTGAAGTACTGCATGTAGGTGGACAGACTGACCTGAAGTACTGTGTGTAGGTGGACAGACTGACCTGAAGTACTGCATGTAGGTGGACAGACTGACCTGAAGTACTGCATGTAGGTGGACAGACTGACCTGAAGTAATGTGTGTAGGTGGACAGACTGACCTGAATTACTGCATGTAGGTGTACAGACTGACCTGAAGTGCTGTGTGTAGGTGGACAGACTGACCTGAAGTACTGCATGTAGGTGGACAGACTGACCTGAAGTACTGTGTGTAGGTGGACAGACTGACCTGAAGTGCTGTGTGTAGGTGGACAGACTGACCTGAAGTACTGTGTGTAGGTGGACAGACTGACCTGAAGTACTGTGTGTAGGTGGACAGACTGACCTGAAGTACTGTGTGTCGGTGGACAGACTGACCTGAAGTACTGTGTGTCGGTGGACAGACTGACCTGAAGTACTGTGTGTAGGTGGACAGACTGACCTGAAGTACTGTGTGTAGGTGGACAGACTGACCTGAAGTACTGCGTGTAGGTGGACAGACTGACCTGAAGTACTGCATGTAGGTGGACAGACTGACCTGAAGTACTGTGTGTAGGTGGACAGACTGACCTGAAGTGCTGTGTGTAGGTGGACAGACTGACCTGAAGTACTGTGTGTCGGTGGACAGACTGACCTGAAGTGCTGTGTGTAGGTGGACAGACTGACCTGAAGTACTGTGTGTAGGTGGACAGACTGACCTGAAGTGCTGTGTGTAGGTGGACAGACTGACCTGAAGTACTGCATGTAGGTGGACAGACTGACCTGAAGTACTGTGTGTAGGTGGACAGACTGACCTGAAGTGCTGTGTGTCGGTGGACAGACTGACCTGAAGTGCTGTGTGTCGGTGGACAGACTGACCTGAAGTACTGTGTGTAGGTGGACAGACTGACCTGAAGTGCTGTGTGTCGGTGGACAGACTGACCTGAAGTACTGCGTGTAGGTGGACAGACTGACCTGAAGTACTGCATGTAGGTGGACAGACTGACCTGAAGTACTGTGTGTAGGTGGACAGACTGACCTGAAGTGCTGTGTGTAGGTGGACAGACTGACCTGAAGTACTGTGTGTCGGTGGACAGACTGACCTGAAGTACTGTGTGTAGGTGGACAGACTGACCTGAAGTGCTGTGTGTAGGTGGACAGACTGACCTGAAGTACTGCATGTAGGTGGACAGACTGACCTGAAGTACTGTGTGTAGGTGGACAGACTGACCTGAAGTACTGTGTGTAGGTGGACAGACTGACCTGAAGTACTGTGTGTAGGTGGACAGACTGACCTGAAGTACTGTGTGTAGGTGGACAGACTGACCTGAAGTACTGTGTGTCGGTGGACAGACTGACCTGAAGTGCTGTGTGTAGGTGGACAGACTGACCTGAAGTACTGTGTGTAGGTGGACAGACTGACCTGAAGTACCGTGTGTAGGTGGACAGACTGACCTGAAGTGCTGTGTGTAGGTGGACAGACTGACCTGAAGTACTGTGTGTAGGTGGACTGACTGACCTGAAGTGCTGTGTGTAGGTGGACAGACTGACCTGAAGTACTGTGTGTAGGTGGACAGACTGACCTGAAGTACTGTGTGTAGGTGGACAGACTGACCTGAAGTACTGCGTGTAGGTGAACAGACTGACCTGAAGTACTGTGTGTCGGTGGACAGACTGACCTGAAGTACTGCATGTAGGTGGACAGACTGACCTGAAGTACTGTGTGTAGGTGGACAGACTGACCTGAAGTACTGCATGTAGGTGGACAGACTGACCTGAAGTACTGCATGTAGGTGGACAGACTGACCTGAAGTACTGCGTGTAGGTGGACAGACTGACCTGAAGTACTGTGTGTAGGTGGACAGACTGACCTGAAGTACTGTGTGTAGGTGGACAGACTGACCTGAAGTACTGTGTGTCGGTGGACAGACTGACCTGAAGTGCTGTGTGTCGGTGGACAGACTGACCTGAAGTACTGTGTGTAGGTGGACAGACTGACCTGAAGTACTGCATGTAGGTGGACAGACTGACCTGAAGTGCTGTGTGTAGGTGGACAGACTGACCTGAAGTACTGTGTGTAGGTGGACAGACTGACCTGAAGTACTGCATGTAGGTGGACAGACTGACCTGAAGTACTGTGTGTAGGTGGACAGACTGACCTGAAGTACTGCATGTAGGTGGACAGACTGACCTGAAGTACTGCATGTAGGTGGACAGACTGACCTGAAGTACTGTGTGTAGGTGGACAGACTGACCTGAAGTACTGTGTGTAGGTGGACAGACTGACCTGAAGTGCTGTGTGTAGGTGGACAGACTGACCTGAACTACTGCATGTAGGTGGACAGACTGACCTGAAGTACTGTGTGTCGGTGGACAGACTGACCTGAAGTACTGTGTGTAGGTGGACAGACTGACCTGAAGTACTGCGTGTAGGTGGACAGACTGACCTGAAGTACTGTGTGTAGGTGGACAGACTGACCTGAAGTGCTGTGTGTAGGTGGACAGACTGACCTGAAGTACTGTGTGTAGGTGGACAGACTGACCTGAAGTACTGTGTGTAGGTGGACAGACTGACCTGAAGTACTGCGTGTAGGTGGACAGACTGACCTGAAGTACTGTGTGTAGGTGGACAGACTGACCTGAAGTACTGTGTGTAGGTGGACAGACTGACCTGAAGTACTGTGTGTAGGTGGACAGACTGACCTGAAGTACTGCGTGTAGGTGGACAGACTGACCTGAAGTACTGCGTGTAGGTGGACAGACTGACCTGAAGTACTGCGTGTAGGTGGACAGACTGACCTGAAGTACTGCGTGTAGGTGGACAGACTGACCTGAAGTACTGTGTGTAGGTGGACAGACTGACCTGAAGTGCTGTGTGTAGGTGGACAGACTGACCTGAAGTACTGTGTGTAGGTGGACAGACTGACCTGAAGTACTGTGTGTAGGTGGACAGACTGACCTGAAGTACTGTGTGTAGGTGGACAGACTGACCTGAAGTACTGTGTGTAGGTGGACAGACTGACCATCTTCTCCTCCTTGTCCCCCTCCTTCAGCTGGGTCCCCCCTGACTGGCTTGGCTTCTGGGTCTCCTGGAAACAAAGAGTCAGCTACAGCAGAAGGTCACAACACACTATAACTATACTTTACCATAAAGTACTTTGTTAGTATGGAAACCTCAAGTAGGAATGTCCAAGTGAAGACAAAGACAGGACATCGTCCGAATGCTTGAGTTAACTGGAAAATTGATTGACAAGGTGTCACTATATATCAGGAAATCAGGAAAACAGGTGAAAATGACGAGGTGAAACTGTCTGCATCCAAATCAGTGTCTCCACCCCATGTAGAGTAATCTCAACTATGTGTCACCCAACTTGTTTGTAAACCCACCACTACTAAACATGAGAATGTCCCACATGATTAGTGAGTGAGAAATGGACTTCACAGGTTGTACCCATGTCGGGAATCGAACCCGGGTCTTCGACGTGATGAGCAAACACTATAACCACTAGCCTACCCCACCGCCCCTGATAAGGACGAAGCTACCACAGCAAACTCACAGACTGTGTGGAATCTCGGCTGTTCTCATCCAAGTCGGCTGAAATATTCTCCTTCTCGGACTGTTTCCTGTAACACATCAATGAATACAACTCATTTTGCACAATACAGTGTACAAAGGAAGAAGACTGGACTATTTTCTTTACTGGATCATTGTTCACATGACCAAATAGCAGCATGCAGGATGAATTCGGCCAAGTCTTCCCAGCAGACACGCATCTGAGTGCTGTTCCTATCATGTTCTGCCAAACATTCAGCCTCTAAATTACCTATTCTACCAATGATTATCTCAGCACGGTTAATGAGTGAGTGAGTATTGCTTTACGCTACTTTTAGCAACATTCCAGCAATTTCATGGCATGGACCAGAAAATGGGCTTCGCACACTGTACCCATGTTGGGAATCAAACCCAAATATTCAGCGTGACGTGCAAACCACTAGGCCACCCAACCGCCTCTTCAAAGTTTATGACTATCCAGCCAACATTGCCCTCATCATAATAATCATAATCATCATCATCATAACATGCAAACAAGGATTCAAAGTTCAATTTCTGATACAAATGACAAGCAGAAGCAACACAAAATTTCCTTCATTTTCAAGTAAAATGACCTAAATTTGATCTGTCTCCTACCTAGAGCTACAGACCATTTTGTTCAGTGCTGAGCTGTTTCAGTGACATAAATGCATGTCTTACTTCTTCCCTGGTTTCCTCCCTTTCTTCTTGCCGTCTGCTCCACGAGAACTGCTGGGCTCCACCTGCTGGGTCTCTTCAAGGTCAAAGTTTGCAACTGGAGGTCTGAACCCTGGGGTAACTGTAAATCACATGCAGTATTGAGTATGTTTTTCATTTTTATTCCAAACTAAAGACAAGTGCAGTTGCTTTTCCAGCACAGAAAATTTAGTCTTTAATGCCAATGTCAGGCAAGTGGGAAAAAACACCATATTGGACATTTGTAAATAAAGACCTTCTGTTCTAATATTTAAAGGTATTTTAGCATTGAAATAATGCAATAATGTAAAACTGAGTATTAAAGTTGGTATTGGTCCTGGTAACAGAGACATACAAGTCCCATTTGCAATGCTAAAACATTTCCTTCAATAAAATCTTGAATTGTGAAATTTTAATTTCAATTTGGGAATTATATCAGACATTTGCTGTAGACCTGATGCCGAATATCTGCGTTTGAGAACACCTCGATAAATCTTTTTCAGTTATAAACACAATTTTGTATTCTATCTTTCAATATAGCATATTCACTCTTTGTATGACTTCCACAGAACTGTACGTACCGGCCAGCAATCTCTCCAGGGTGTTCTGCACCTCCGTGATGTTCTGCAGCCTCATGATGACCTTGCCCTTCATCTCCGGCGACGTTTGTGTGGCAAAGCAGTTGGCCAGCTGACATCAAGGAAACAAGCATTCAGGCTGAACACACACATACCTTTACACATAGTTTCACACTGTCTTCAAAAACTTCCAAGCATAACCCTTGTTAATCTTGTCCTACCTTACAGGTGCAGGAATACATCAATCAAAGTACAATGAGGCACAAACACATCTTTGAATAATGAGCACACCATAAATCTACATTGAGTAATCCTAGTGATTTAGTTCTCTGTCAAAGTATAGGAGACACAATGCTGTTTAGTGCTGTTAGATTGTTTCTGAAGATTTCGTGCATTGATGATTTACACGTAATATTATAAGTCCATGTTAGTATACAACTATGATTGTGATGTTCACATTTATTAATTGTGCGGAAAACATGTTTGTTCCGTGATTGACCAGTCTGTGACTGGGTTTAGTATTTACAGCACTTTGTATTGCCTGCTGCCATCATACTTTGCTAGCATATGCTATAACCTGTCATGTTAGACTAGTTAGTTTAGATTAATTAGTTTAGATTAATTAGTTTTCATGATTAGTTCCTCATTGTCGTAATTGGTGGTTCTTGTTTAGTTTATAAGTTCAGCTTAGTTTAAGCCAGTTGAAATGTTGATTCTGATCATAAGTTGTAATCAGCCATACTCCATAAAAGCGTTTATTGCCGAGTTAGTTCTAGTAATAGTTTTTGTTGATTTCAACCCATAATTCAACCCACTAAAAGAGCTTCCATATTACCTCGACTTCCACTATCTCATGAACACAAAACAGCTCAAGTCCCAACCTGACTAATATATATTGTTATATTTTGATGTTTATCATATAAATGGGATTTGTAGCTGTAATAATATTCTGATGGTTGATCTGATAATATATGCTTAAATTCATGCTCATGGTATACAGTAAATGTAATAATGGTTAATTATAGATTCTAATTCAACCTTATTATATTAAGTATTAGGGTATTAATCCTTATCCGTATCGTGGTGGGATCCCCTATAGAACAGACGAAATCCCATGAAACCCCTACAAGTATTTGTTGTCATTCCACATAGACGTGATACCGCTGTTACAAAAGTTATGAGCACTTCCGGTTTTATGACCTTGACCAATCATGACCTGTATATAAAGTTTCATCAAATGCAAATCAAAATTGCTGAGCACCCTTGACCAAAGTCATTTCATGAGTTCATGACCTGCAAAGCGATTTGACACAATCATGACATATGATAAGTGCTGAGTTAGTTCGAATTCATCTTACTCATTGCAAAAACCTTTGATCTTTCCCGCCTCAGAGGACATGCACGCTAAGTTCTGTCAAATTCAAATCATTAATAAAGAAATCCAGCACACAAGTCATTCAATCACAACTATGGTTGTGTTACAAACAACATCTACATATCATCTGTAATAAGCACATAGTTGAGAAAACCAACTGCAGGGGCGGTGGAGCTAAAATCCAACCAATCACATTACACAGCCCCCATTACCCAGCCCCCATTACATTACCCAGCCCCCATTACATTACACAGCCCCCATGACCCAGCCCCCATTACATTACACAGCCCCCATTACCCAGCCCCCATTACATTACCCAGCCCCCATTACATTACCCAGCCCCAAATTACATTACACAGCCCCCATTACACAACCCCCATTACATTACCCAGCCCCCATTACATTACACAGCCCCCATTACATTACCCAGCCCCCATGAGGCAGCCCCCATACGCAGCTCCCATGAGGCAGCCCCCATTACACAGCCCCCATTACGCAGCCCCCATTAGGCAGCCCCCATTACATTACCCAGCCCCCATTACGCAGCCCCCATTACCCAGCCCCCATTACATTACCCAGCCCCCATGAGGCAGCCCCCATTACGCAGCTCCCATGAGGCAGCCCCCATTACACAGCCCCCATTATGCAGCCCTCATTACGCAGCCCCCATTACACAGCCCCCATTACACAGGGTCTGCTTAAAAACAAAGGCTTATTTTGTTTAAAGTGCAGCATCCTTAATGCATGTGACATGTGTATGCAGTGTCTGTGAAACCGTCCTTCCTCAGTACAGGAGATTACAGTGGCCAGAATCTGTGCAATGCTTTCGGTTAACTGTTATAAAAGATGTTAACAGTAACGTTTTTGTTTATATCTTAGATAATGAAATTTAACAATAAACCAAAAAAAGAAAAATGCTGCCTCAAGTTGCCATGTGCAAAAAAAGGTCTGCAAATTGCTAAAGAAATAAACGCTATTCTCAATCAGGATTATGATCAGTTAATAGTTTTTCCCAACAAAATATGCTGTTCAGTTTAATGTCAGTTATGTGATTTATCTCACAAAAATCATTCATTAGGGTAATTTAGGTATTTTATAGGTGGACACAAAGAAACATAATGTTGAGCTGTATCTGAATAATAGAGTTATTATATTTCATGAAATTGAGGCATTAGACAAATCACTATTCAAGTCATTGATATTGCGAAGCTTTGAGACACTGTTCCTGACTCACCTCACGGAACCAGTTCAGGCTGTGGAAGAGTGTGGTGCAGATCACATCCTTTTCCTTGTGGGACAGTGACTCGTACTTCTCATACACCTCCTCCTTGACTGTGTACACAGGGCAGCCTACCACAAACACATGGTTGTCAGTACAGACAGTCAGACAGACACTCGTACTTCTCATACACCTCCTCCTTGACTGTGTACAGAGGGCAGCCTACCACAAACACATGGTTGTCAGTACAGACTACAGTCAGACAGACACTCGTACTTCTCATACACCTCCTCCTTGACTGTGTACCGAGGGCAGCCTACCACAAACACATGGTTGTCAGTACAGACTACAGTCAGACAGACACTCGTACTTCTCATACACCTCCTCCTTGACTGTGTACACAGGGCAGCCTACCACAAACACATGGTTGTCAGTACAGACTACAGTCAGACAGACACTCGTACTTCTCATACACCTCCTCCTTGACTGTGTACCGAGGGCAGCCTACCACAAACACATGGTTGTCAGTACAGACTACAGTCAGACAGACACTCGTACTTCTCATACACCTCCTCCTTGACTGTGTACCGAGGGCAGCCTACCACAAACACATGGTTGTCAGTACAGACTACAGTCAGACAGACACTCGTACTTCTCATACACCTCCTCCTTGACTGTGTACACAGGGCAGCCTACCACAAACACATGGTTGTCAGTACAGACTACAGTCAGACAGACACTCGTACTTCTCATACACCTCCTCCTTGACTGTGTACCGAGGGCAGCCTACCACAAACACATGGTTGTCAGTACAGACTACAGTCAGACAGACACTCGTACTTCTCATACACCTCCTCCTTGACTGTGTACCGAGGGCAGCCTACCACAAACACATGGTTGTCAGTACAGACTACAGTCAGACAGACACTCGTACTTCTCATACACCTCCTCCTTGACTGTGTACACAGGGCAGCCTACCACAAACACATGGTTGTCAGTACAGACTACAGTCAGACAGACACTCGTACTTCTCATACACCTCCTCCTTGACTGTGTACACAGGGCAGCCTACCACAAACACATGGTTGTCAGTACAGACTACAGTCAGACAGACACTCGTACTTCTCATACACCTCCTCCTTGACTGTGTACCGAGGGCAGCCTACCACAAACACATGGTTGTCAGTACAGACTACAGTCAGACAGACACTCGTACTTCTCATACACCTCCTCCTTGACTGTGTACACAGGGCAGCCTACCACAAACACATGGTTGTCAGTACAGACTACAGTCAGACAGACACTCGTACTTCTCATACACCTCCTCCTTGACTGTGTACACAGGGCAGCCTACCACAAACACATGGTTGTCAGTACAGACTACAGTCAGACAGACACTCGTACTTCTCATACACCTCCTCCTTGACTGTGTACACAGGGCAGCCTACCACAAACACATGGTTGTCAGTACAGACTACAGTCAGACAGACACTCGTACTTCTCATACACCTCCTCCTTGACTGTGTACAGAGGGCAGCCTACCACAAACACATGGTTGTCAGTACAGACTACAGTCAGACAGACACTCGTTCTTCTCATACACCTCCTCCTCGACTGTGTACAGAGGGCAGCCTACCACAAACACATGGTTGTCAGTACAGACTACAGCTAATACGTGACACACAGCCAGATGTACAGGAAGGATAAGGATAAAAAGAATTAAAAAATTGTTACAAGCCAATTGGATACTAATTACAAAGGCCAATTGCTTCATTAGCTTTCAGAAACGAGATGAAATACCCTTGATCTCTGTTGATCAAAGGTTTGTGACGGAAGATTTCTATGGCTTCTGAGAGTTTTCTTTTACTAAAGTCCTGGTGTTTGGTTGAGTGGATCTGGACTGTGTCAAACTGAATTCAATTGCTTGGAAATTTTTGCTGGTGGTCTGAGAGGGCCAAGTTGTCGTCTGCTTTGGCTGTTGAAGTTTTATGTTCTTCAATCCGGGTATCTACTGGGCGGGAGGTTTGACCAATGCATGAGGCACCACAGTCCCAAGGAATCTTATAGATCACTCCTTTGGTGGGTTGCTCATCTACATCGAAACGTCACTATGTGCAATAAATCAGAAGTTGTTATCCATAAAGATGTACACTTTGTTCTTTACTCTCCATCTTCTAGATAGTTCATAAGCTAAAGATGCCTTGAGAACTTTTTTATATACAAATTTGCTAATCAGCTTTGTACCACTGACACAATGTAGCTTCCTACTCACCTAGTAATGCATCAATGCCCTCCAGATCACCGCCATTTTGTACCTTTTCACAGATGTGGACCAGCCGGAAGTGTGGAGACAGACATGTGGGGTTCGGCTCTCTGGAATGGGATGTATTCCACAATACACACTCACACACCACATCCAAAAGGATGAATAATCGCAGAATTACTGGGCTGGATTGGAGGCTGATGGTTGAAAGCCTTCCTGATAGAAATCCCAGCCACATCTTAGTGCAAACTGGCTCAACATGTTGCTTTATGAGGTTAAATTGCTCAAATTTAAAGCCAAAACAGAAAACATCAAAATTTAGAAATAAAACATAAGCATTTTAAAATAAACTACACTGAAGTAACCTCCACACAACCTCCACTGAACTCCAAATATCTTGATTGTTGCAAAGATGTATTTCTTAAGGTTAAAATATCATTTTAGTAAAATCTAAATATTTTTTACATTTGTATACTTATCCTGCATTACTCCTTAATGCATTCACTGCTTACTTACGACAACTAGAAGGACAGCGCTGCGAAGGTCCTGGGTGAAGAAATAAAGTTGTTGTTCTCAAGTCCCAATCAGTGGCCTTCCGTCGCTGTCCTGTGACCTTGATGACACCTAAGGTCATCTTCACATCACTGCCTGTCGCCCAAGCTCTTAGAAAAACATACTTTTGAGGTTTCTGAAGCCAAAGTGGGGAGGCAAGTCTAACGACGGGTGGGCCTTAAGCGTAGTAATGCAGGATAAGTATACAAATGTAAAAAATATTTAGATTTTACTAAATTTTTTACTTATACTGCATTACTCCTTAATGCATCTGTATCGGACGGTTTGGAGGTGGGTCAACCTTCAGAATACAGAAACCTCAATAATTCACACCCTGCAATACGACCCCATTTGGTCGATAAACCGTGAAGCGGAACAGTTCAGACAAAAACGCCATTACGGTAGGGTTGTTCAAAAATCAAAAACATTGAACATAGGAATTAAAGAGAAATTCCCTATACACGCTTAGTAATAAAGAAAATAATAGCTATTCAGCTAATTCTTTACTTACTGCGTCATAGAGCCGTCGCTGACAAACAAGATTGTCTAATATTCTTCCACTGGTGGCGACTGAGTGACTGCACATGGGAGTTGACTGGCTCTGTATAGGGCGAGTTCATTATTTGCGTCAGTGGTTGGCAATCTGCAGGATAACAACCAGAGGGCCAAACTTCGAACGTCTTTGACATCCTCGAGAGTCACAACGCGAAGGTTATGACTAACGAAAATATGTGTCGAATCTCCAGAAATATCCTTCCGTGATTGTTCCAAAACCACAATTGCCGTGTTGAGCCCTGGTAAGGCTGACACCTTGAGATCTTGAGGGTAATTCGCTCTCGGCGAGTTCCGTTTGATGATCTCGTAGGCCTGAAGGATTACTGCGCGTAACCATATAGATATGGTGTTTGCGATTATGCGACTAACTTCTGTCGTGGACGAACCACGCCTTGTCTTGGAGCGTCGAATGAAAACTCGAACTGCTCGCACCGAGCCCAGGAGAACTTCACCATGTACGATTCCCACAATAGTCGATATCGGTGGGATGGTGAAGAACGGTCGGGTTGGCCTGGTAGTAGATTTTAGCAATAAAATCCCAGCATAACCCTAGATGTCCTGTTCCGTGCGTCCCATGCTCAAAACGGATCCGGGTTGAGTCGACCACATGTAGTTCGCTCACCCGTACCGCCATTGCTAATGCCAAGAGAAACCATTGTTTCCTTGGTGATGTCCAAGCTCCTCACAGCGATAGCCCGTTCGCGGAGCTCTCTATACTATACCGAGAGTGTAACGAAGGTGTCACGCGCTGGGAAGGAGCTTGAAAATGAGGATGCAATGAGGGGCTCGAAGGGGGCCCTCGCAAACCTCGAAGTACCACGTTCAAGTCCCAATCAGGTGGCTGGAACTTGGCCTTCTGATCCTCAAACCTGAATGAGCATAATATGGCCTGTAGTTCCCTGACCTTAATCACACTGTGATTTTCCGGAAACGGCCAACACTAAGATAATTGCAGCCAATTACGTAGTAATGGTGCTACCTTCCAAGTGTTTTTGGGTACGCAATGTAGGAGGTATTCCTCTAGGAATTGTGACGCAATCGTAGGGTCTTGATTCTTTTCTTCCCTGTAAAAAGTCTCAAGTGATCCCCACTTGTCATCGTCGTCTCTGGGAGAGTAACGATGAACTAAAGCTATAGCTTTGCTGCCCGTGTCGAAATAACCCTTCGCACTTAAACGCCTTTTAAAGACGAACCATGCGTGCAGACGTTGGGTGAGGCAATTTTCTGTTGAGGGTGGATGAGTAGGTTGGACCACTGTGAGAGGGGAAGTGAATCGTTTTAGATTTTTCCGAGCTTGACGAACTACCCTCTCGCCGGTTACCATGGTGCGACCAAAGGAGAGATCGAGATACCTTGTCTCCTTGATCCCCTGTAGCACCTTGGGAAGTTATAGTGGTGGCAGAAGAGTTTTAGTTCTTTGCCCTTCCCAAGTGATACTGAACTCGTCCACCGCCCAAGTCTGCGGATCCGGCAACGGGGAGATATACGTCATGAGTTGGTGGCCTAGGCAAGTAATAAACAAGTCAATGTTTGGTTGCCTGAATTCCTGAAGCAGTAACTGGAATGCTTCTGTGAGAAATTTCCACTCAGTGGGAGCCACCCTGTCTGGACGTGATAAAGTATCGGCCAGTATGTTTCTACATCCGGGGATGTGCTGAACTATGAACCTTAGTCACAGCCGATCCACTAGATGGAAGAAATCTGAATGTCCTTAGAAGTGGAGAGTGGGAGTGTGTTGTTCCCCGATTGCACAGGCACCACACCGCAGTGCTGTTGTCTGTGGATATAGCGAGTCGGGCTAACTGTAGTTGATTCTGCCAATGTGATATAGCCAGAATTAAAGCTTCCAACTCCAAGTTGTTTATGTGCCACTTCCATTGTGTGCCGGGCCATAGCCCTGAGCTTATCTGGTCTTGTAAGTGAAGACTCCACCCCTGAAAGGGGACGTCCACAAACAGGTGTGTATTCGGGGAAAATCCGAATAAACAGACTCCGCAGACATTCAGCGCCACAAATTGAGGCTCTAGCTTAGTTGGTAGAGTGATGGCCTTGAGTGGATCCTGACTCCTGATGTAAGGGTTCAGGAAAAAAATTGAATTGGTCGCTGTTGTAAGCGGCCCATGCTAGTTAACTCCTGTGCCGAGGTGATTAACCCTAGCAACACTTGCCACTGGCGAAGTGTGTGTGGTTGGTGTAGAGTAGATGACAAAAGAAGTAGAAACTTGTGCCATCTGTCCCTCGGTACAGATAGGATATCCTGGTCTGTCTTAACCAGGTCTCCTATGAACTGAAGTCAATAGGAAGGAGAATACTCCCGACTTCGCCTCGTTGATTGTCTATCCCAGTTATTGACATGTGTTGATGATACAGTAGATCGCCCTCCATCTACGACTCGAACCAAGTGTTCGTCACGTGTAGATAGTTATTGGCTTCATTACTCCTGTAAATAGCCATAAGTGTCACTGACATGTCAAATGTGAAATACTACCATTGGTAGTGAACCCCAATGAACTGGACCTGAAAAGTCTACGGTTGGGATGGATAGTCGAGACTGATGAAGAATCAAACGTTCGTTGAACACAGAGATTGTGGATCATTCTCATCTTGTCTGGGTCCTTCATGAGTACCAGGTAGGTGTGAGGATAAAACCCCGGAGTAAAGACTGGGTTGTGAACCCACTCTACAGCTCTTCTTACCAACAGTATGTCTATGTTGGATTTTCCCAATCAAACTGTGGTCAACGGTGGGGTTAACTCTACCCTTATACGGACACCATGATATAGTGCGATAAGTACGAAATCGTCCTTGAGACTTGTCTCTGCCACTCCCTTTCTCAGTAAGGGAATGCTGGTCTTCCCTGAGAAACGCGCGTCTAGGCTTATAATTCCCTGACTTGGACTTTCCAAGCTTTTTGGGAACTTGACGTGCGTGTCTGCGATCTGTTCGTTGAACAGGGGAGTAGATGATCAAGGTTGACGTAATAGACTGCCCTTGAAACCAGCATCTCAGTTGGAAACGCTATAAAGTCTTGTGTGTAACGGTAATCACCGTCAGAACGGTCTCAAGATGAATTTTCCTGTGGTCAAACTGACGCTGTAGGAAAAACACCATAGTTTGGAAGTGATCTAATCAGATAGGGTTATCCTCTAATAGATTCTGATCCACTGCAAACATTGACGATATTGGTCGCTTAAATCACGGAGCAAATGTGAGTTTTGGAGAAGGCTTCCTCCAATGACCTCGTGGTGTCCCTCTTATTTACCCTGTTATCAGGGGAGGGCGTTACTGACACGAGATGGTCTGCTTCCCAATCGGGTATATGTGCTAAGCTGATCATGTGCCGGTTACGTAACCGAGTACACTGTAAGCCTTGGGCTAACGTCATTGTAGAGACCTTGATTGATACGCAGACGCTGCGCTCAGCGCAGGTCTGGAATGTTGGAACAGCGCTAAGCTGATCGTGCGTCACTGGCGTGATAGGAGCGCTTGGGTATCAGTCAGACACTGCGCTCGGCGCAGGTCTATGCTGGATATGTTGGAACAGCGCTAAGCTGATCCTGCGTCACTGGCGTGATATGAGCGCTTGGGTATCAGTCAGACGCTGCGCTCGGCGCAGGTCTATGCTGGATATGTTGGAACAGCGCTAAGCTGATCGTGCGCCGCTTGCGTAATAGAAGTGCTTTGGTTGTAGTCAAGTGCTGCGCTCGGCGCAGATAAATCAGACACAAAGCTCAAAAGTATTGACTGGATCAAGGCTTGTGTCTAATCTACCCCCATCATAGCATCTCGATACGCTGGTGCTGTCGCCGACGTCACAGATTATCATACATGTATCTGGAAGTGTCCGGCGGCTGAAAAAATAGGAGCAGTTACGATACTCACAAAATCCTCCGGTATTGTTGATTTCGGTGGATGGTGTACTTCTGCAATCACAGTCGTCATAATACCTGCCGATAATAACGGTTGGGTGGTAATGACAGAACCATATGTCATTCGCTATTCTGCGATAGTGACATTCCTCTCGTCTCACGACGGAATAACTGCAAAATATGATTGTGAGTAATCTGCTTTTATATAGTAAACTCGTTGGATTAGAGATTTACATAAAAATTACATTTTGAATTTTGGCGAGCACATCTACGTGCATGCCTATGACCGTGGATAAAGAGCTTTGGGCGATTATTCCACGACAATATGTACGCCGAGCAAACATAATTATGTTACGCAATTAAACCATTGAAGAAATGGTACTGGAAGAATGCCGTAGAATTGAACAGTAATCTATCGGCAAAAATACGAATTGCAAGGGTATACAATATTTTTATATACGCAATTCAATGTAAACCAAGGCTATTTACATTTAGAGATTGGAGAGCACATCCGCGCGCAAACCAACCAATCGTGGATGATAATCTTGTAAGGTTTTTTCCACGACAATTAGTAAAATGCTCAAAGGTATGTTACGCAATGAAACCCTTGTTGATGAGATAATACTGGAAGAGTGCCGAAGAATTTGAACACTAATCTATCGGCAAATTTATGAGTTGCAAGGATATACAATATTTTTGTATGCGCAACCCAATGTAAACCAAGGGTATTTATATTTTCATTTAGGGTTTGGAGAGCACATCTGCGCGCAAACCAAACAACGTGGATGATAATCTTTGTAAGATTTTTCCCACGACAATTAATACCACGCTCAATCATAAGTTACACAATTACATATATATATGTATGTATATTCAATGTCTGTACATATAGAGTAGGGAAAGGGCCACCTAAGTTGGATAACTTTTGCCCAATCCCGTTGACCATATATGTCAATAAAATATGTTTAAATTAAACACAATTACGCCATTGTTGATGAGGCGGTACTGGAAGAATGCCATAGAATTGAACAATAATCTATCGGCAAAAACTACGAGTTGCAAGAGTATACAATAGTTCATATACGCAACTCAATGTAAAACCAAAAATACCAACAAAAAACTATTTAATCGCATAAACATAGGTACGCAATAAAAGAATTGTTGATGAAGCGGGACTGGAAGAAAGCCGTAGATTTGATATTAATCTATCGGCAACCATATTTTTAACGAGTTGAAAAAGTATACAATAATTTTAGTATACGCAACTCACTGTTACGCCAAAGCTAGTAATATTTAAGAACATAAGAATATGTTATACATACGTAGCTGAGAATTGTAAACAATATGACTACCTTGGCAGGCAAACGATTGTAACACAATTCAAAATGGCGGCGAACAACAATATTTTGGCGGGAAAAAAAAACAAGTGTCTTTTCACGCCTAATTAATTCACATAAAACTACACAACATGGTGAAAGTAATATGAAAAGAATACATCACCCATCGCAGATCAATTTTTAAGATTGTAGACAAACTGAAGGTCTAAAATTAATCCAAAAGGAGAGCTCCGCTTGGACACGTCCTAGCTGTGCTGCGACAAGCAGTGATGTGTAGATGACCTTAGGTGTCATCAAGGTCACAGGACAGCGACGGAAGGCCACTGATTGGGACTTGAGAACAACAACTTTATTTCTTCACCCAGGACCTTCGCAGCGCTGTCCTTCTAGTTGTCGTAAGTAAGCAGTGAATGCATTAAGGAGTAATGCAGGATAAGTAAAAAATTATACTTATCCTGACTCATACTTATTACTTATCTGATCTCATTCCAAAAAGGTAGTGGAAATTCCTGTGCTGTGTTCCCAAGAACAGAGAAAAACATCTCACCAGAACGCACCCCTCAGCCGCACCGAAGTTGTGAACAATCCGGTACACTCGTCACCCTCTCATTTCGCTTACACTTACAACCTTAACACATATACTAGAAGCGGGGATGGCTTGGTGAGGTGAGCTGAATTGGTGAATCACGGCAATATCTTCTCTGGCGATGTCTCGAAGATAGTGTGCAGTTGGCGCAAAAATGAGATAGTGACAAGTGTACCAGTTTGGTCATGTGCATCTGGTTGCGCTGCACGGCTGAGGGGTGCGTTCGGGTGAGATGTTTTTCTCTGTTCTTGTGAACACAGCACAGGAGTTTCCACTACCTTTTCAGAATAAGATGAGATAAGCAATTAGTAATTTGTATGTGTCAGGATGAGCTAAATACGACATTTTCTAAATAGCTACCAAACCATTGCCATCAGATTATTGCGTACACTTGTTATGACAATCAATGAACTCGTCACAGCATAATTTGAGTGTTTCCCCCACCTTGCACTTTCCTTTGTGTTGGCCTTCTTCTTGTGATTAGCCACTACAAGCGGCAGCAGGTTGATCGCTATAGAACTGTCTGTGTCCTCATTCAGATTGTACATATCTTGTAGAGGAACCATGTGATCCCTGCAACAGGTCCAAGAATCATAGATTCAACTGATGAAATCTGAGAGTGCTCTCCCTTTGCTTAGCTGATGAATACAGATTGCACAATTTGTCTGAACCATTTCAGGAGACTTACACACCATATTTCTGAATCATAGGTCGACAATAACAATCTTGTTTTAATTTGGCAGAATCTCATTCAAGGTAAACAGGTCTAGCATCAAAATGTACAAGCACATTCAGACATAGTATGAACACGTTCTTTGAAGTCATACAACTTGACCAGTGAGTATTCACATAATGAGTGAATGAGTGAGTGAATGAGTGAGTGAGTTGGGTTTAACGCCGCTTTTAACATTATTCCTGTTATATCATGGCGTGTCAGCTTTATTTGGGAGGAAAGGCCGAAATGATGCAGGTCTCAGACGTTTACCACTTTGGTGAAACCCACGAGCACGGGTATGGTGCTGACAAACCTAGAAACATAATTGGGGCGAACCGGGATTCGAACCCACAATCATAGGTTTCTGGCGTGCCCAAGGGACGCAACTCTGCATAGCGAATCGCGGCGCCTTAGACGACTTGGCCATCCGGCCCCCTATTCACTATGGTGACCAACACCTTCACGTAGCATTCTGTTGCACAAACACCTGCTGTTATGACAGTAGTTACGGAGATTCAAACATGTAATTATCACATCTCACACTTACTGCTGAATGAAGCTCTCTTCAACGTCCACCACAAAATCATCCTGGAAATCTGCTATCATGTTCTCAGAAATCCAGTGCTGAAACAGGAATACTGCCACTGAGATCTTCAACACAGTAAATAGTAACGGTGTGAGGTATATCGGTAACTTGAGGTTCATTCTTTCCACAATATGTATCACAATATCATTTTTTCGTGCTTGATGTATCGGGCGATTTCAAATTGGGATTTTTATCATGTGCTTAACGTTACTTATCATCCAAAACTGGCTCCCACAGGAGATATCGCTTGGATTAGATCAAGTGATATCTACACTGTAGATATCGCTGCAATGAAAATACATCACAATGCTTTGCAGACCATTGTGACGTCACTGGTTACCATGACGTCACAATCAAATGACATCACTAATGGCTCTGCTACTGAAGCTGTTAGCAGTACTTTTTACACTGAAGACACTGCTAATTAATGTCTACAAATTGAAAAAGTTGGAAGAATGATGTTGGATGATAAATAAAATCTCACCCTCGTGTCTTTTGATATCAAATATATCAACACTCTTTGATAAACGTGGCAAAAATCCTCAGCAAGCCTCGGAATTTTTCCACTTTTGTCAACTCGTGTTGATATATTTAATATCAAAAGACACTCGGGTGAGATTCTCTATATACTTGCCAAATGCCTTCGTTGCCCAAGAGCGAGAATCTGGGGCCCAAAGATAGCCCCAAAGATAGTATTTTTTGACTGAGTAAACATTATGTTGTACCAGCATCTTGTTTTGTTCCATTTATGAACTTACCTTTATACCTAAATGTATCAGATTATTTCTGAATTTAAAAATTAGAATTATACAATTTATCGTGATAAATATTGCAATATGGCCTTGTGCATTGCAAAATATTGTGGCCCCGTGATACAGTTTAAACCTCCAATACCCATCCCTTGTGAACAGTAACTGTTGTGAAGTGGCTGGGTTGTTCCACACCGGGGCACTCAGGTACACATTTCACCACAGCACAACATGTCTTCACATATTTCACATTTTTTACATATAAGTAGACATATTTACTCCCCAGCAACAAAATAGTATTTCAATAACTAGGTCTGTTGTGTCTCCTAGCATAGGAATAAGAAGTTTAGAATGCAAGTTGAGATATAATATATATATACATTGGAAATTCTGATCACTGCTCTAGTTCTGATAGTATTATCTCTTATACTACCGATATATATATCGATATACATATTGGTAGTATAAGAGATATTACTATCAGAACTAGAGCAGTGATCAGAATTTCCAATACCATTGCTCATAGAAAGGTATATTTAAGACCAGATACATTAAATCAGCACACAAATCGAGCAGCAAACGTAATCTAACCTAAATAAAAAAAAAAATTATTACTTCTTAATGGCAGCTACTTAATACAGGCAATAATATAGTGTCTATTTTATATTCATTGTTACAAACGTGTGCGTAGCCTACTTTTTATATTGATATTACAAAAACTCTCAGAATACATGAATATCCCTCGCACTCGCTTTACGAAGTACAACCCTTCTGACACACGTTGTGATATGAGAACACACGGATGGGATAACCTCCATGTCTGTAAGTGTCACCTACCACAACTTTAGGGTCTACATTGCCTTTACTGATGACAGACGACAGTTCATCCAGAAACAGGCAGGTGGCCTCGGGGCTGCCGGTGCTGCTGGTTCGGACCAGTTGCAGCAGGTGCACCACCTCCTTCAGCTTGTCGTCACTGATGGTGCTCTCAGACTGGTCAGAGCTGCAACACGGCAGGGGAACTGTTTGATGATGTTGCATATCAATTCTAACAACAAGTCTAAATGAACAAAAACACTGTTTTGTTTTGGGATGAGTTATCTTATTCTTGACACTTATGCAGTAAAAACATAGTAAATGCCCTGTCCATCAGGAGTGCTGTATTATGTGGTTATAATAATGATACCACCACTTCTACTAATTCAAATTTAATTCTCTGCTCCTTGGGCAGCATACTAACACTGATGTGACTACTACTAATTCAAATTTCATTCTCACTACCACTACCACCACTAGTGAGGTGAGGTGAGGTGAAATTGGGTTTAACGTCGCGTCCAAGATTATTGCAATTATATAGCGACGTGCATGCACGTGTGTGTGGCTGCTTGTACTAGTCCAGACTGATGCCGATTTAATAGTGCTAGCCCACTGAGATACCATGCTGCAGTTTAACATAAATACCCCACTCAGACACAGTATACTGACTCCGAGCCGACCAGTCCTTGTTTTAGCCCCTTTATGCCGAGCGCCAGACAGGGTAACAACAAGTACCATCTTTTAAAGTCTTTTGGTATGACGCGGCCGGGGATCCAACCCCGGACCTTCTGCTCTCCAGGCAGACGCTCTACCACTAGACCACAGAGGTGGTCACCACCACTAGAAATTCAAATTTCATTCTCTGTCTCCTTGGCAGTATACCACCCAAGTTTCCTTATAAGGCAATCATATTACCATCTCACCAGGGAGCAATAATGTAAGACATACGTAATTTATCATGAAGTTGATACAGAAACACACAAGACGAGGAGGATGAAAAACTGTGATTCAGCCTGCATGACGTACTGGTAATTAAAATATAGATATTGAGTAGTGTATAAGTAAGTGTTGTTTGAAACAGCAGTCAGCAACCCTACCAGCCACGCCACACCACGCCACACCACGCCACACCACGCCACACCACGCCACACCACACACAACACTACACGACACTACAATATCACAATGGCTTGTAAACAGATCAAGACCAACCAGTGGTTGACAGTATGATCAAAGATCCATGTAAGCCACAACCCCCACTCCCTGCGTACACTTACCGGACGTAGGCAATACTTTTGACAACCATGATGGCACCAATCACTCCCATGCGTTTATACCTGAAACGATGAAGAAATCACAGAGTTTATATAAAACATGGCCAACACAACACAAAGCCTCCAGACACCAGTGGTCACCCTACAGTCAACACAGTGCAGGTCCATGTGTTCATGTCAGTCTGGAGTAGCCATACTGTAACTTGCACACAACTCGCCAAACTAACAATAACAATACAATTTGTTTCTCAACAGCTTTCTCTGTTCCTCTCCTGAATACTGAATTGAAGTGTGGTCTATAGTATGTCAGTCAAGGCAAGAAATATTGCTTGGTTTTCAAGATCTGCTCTGGAAACGAGCACTACTGCCATTTTCAGTCTAAGTCAAAATCGTTCCCCTCAACAACAAAAAATTGTTTAAATCACCAACTATCAAAAAGCACCAGTTCACCACTAGACCGATCTATGTGCCAAGATTGGTTAAGATTTCTGTTATGTTTTTTTAGTTCTTTGACAGACGGATGGACAGCACCCATTCATGGCGGGGCACAATAATCCAGTCTTGGCCCGGTAAACTGGTTGTTGATCCACACCAGTGGGTACAAGGACATCAATCAGCTACATTTCGCATCCTTACAACACATTTACAACAATAGTTGATGCTTACACACATGGACCCGATTCTCTAGGGGAATGACTTCAGAAGTAACTATGTCACCAATTGCAATACAACCACCATAGAATTTCCAATTACACGAGGGGCACGGCACGGGTGGCTGGTGTTTAAAGCACCACAATCCTATGATCATGGGTTTCATTCACACATTTGCTCTAATGATATTTATTGGCTTATGAGGACCATACCCATGTTGGTGGGTTTGATCAAAGAAGTAAACGACTGAGCATGCTCAGCTTTCTCTCTCATGTTAAGCTGACATGTTGTGGTATAACTGAAACACTGTTCAAAGCAATGCCAAACCAAACTCACTCCACTTAAAATATCAGTGGATGTCGAGATGGCTGGGACGGGTCCAGATTTACTACCCGGGTACCCACCCCACTATTACCCAACACTACCCAGGTACCCGCTGTTGGTCTCAAGATATAGGTACAAAACGTCCGAGTGGGAAAAGTTTGACCGTAGCCCTAGTAAAATGTATTTACATGCACGTATAAAACGATCTAGTCATGCATACACTGAAGTTTACTGAAGTTTTATCCTTATTCAAACATATGAAAGTCAGAAGGAATTTATGCATAGTCAGAAAGAAATGTTAACATTAGTGTCTTGTAGTATACCCATAGAGTCCTAGTTAATTTTTGTCATTAAACAATATATCACGTGACTAACCACGGGACGGGTAGTCCTGTGGGTACATGTGGGTATCTGATTTACCTAGCCCAGCCCAAACACAATGACTGTTCCACCTACTTGAGGCTGCTGTTGTACAGCTGTTTCCTGATGATGATGTGAAGATCATCCTGAAAGCAGGACACATTTCCATGTCTTTACCTCAGTATTAGGCCTGTTTTTCATGATATCACATCAACACAATTCAAACTTCAACTCAGAATACAGAAAATGGTCGATGGCTAGGTTATACGTATTGCCCTCTCACTGACAAATCACTGAAAAAAAAAAATGGGATAAAAATATTTACATGACTTTTCCATGCCTTCTAACAATTTTCTATTTTTCCAAAACTATTCCAGGCCTAGGAAAATGAAAATGAAATTCCAGGAACCATACACTTCACCTCAACGGCAATTAATACCTTTATATGTAACATATAACATAAGTCAATCATAAACAAAAACACATTAGACACTAGTCCAAATTTGAAGCCAAAAGTAACATTTCTTTGGTCAAGTAAGTTCAAGCTATTGATAGTCTGTATATATTACTCAGAAGTTAAAAAAGAAAACAGTCAGGTGTTCTCTTGTGTCATGGTACGACAGATTAACTACAGTAATATGAAAGAATCAGTTAACTTCTTTTGAGTAATATAGTATCACAGTGAGTGATGCTTAAAAGACAAGTTGGCTCAAAAGTAAATGGCATAGACTGCAATAGGCAGATGATGCCTTTCCAAATAACAACAACTATTGAGATGCCAACCCTAAATGAAGCCCTGGAGTAATCAGTTGGGTAGAAAAGCATAATTTCATGTGGAAAAGAGTAATGTTAAGAGTACCATGCCATAATGCTGGTTTTTGCTTCGACATTTGGACATCAAAATAAAAAAAGTACTCAAAAATAGGGGCCACATTTCAAACAACCATTTTGTATTCTGAACAACTTTGGTAATTATAGATTATAAATCAGTTAAGAAAGCATTTAATCCAAGTTGCTGTGCGGGAGCTACAAAAAATGGCATCGGAAACACTGCATTCATGTCGAAACACATTGTCAAAGCTCTACAGATTTCGAAAATTAATCATGTGACGATATTAACTGTATTGCAGAAAGACAATGTGGTTTTTCGAGTTCCAAAGATATATCGTTGTACATGCAATTAGCTCCCTGTAGAATGCTTCACGTGATTGGTGCATTTACAATTTGCTCTTCGTGATATAATATGCATGTAAATAATTCGTGAACAAAATGTAGGCTCCAAAGCATAATTATTATGCCAAAGCATAATGGTTGGCAGCTCTGAATATTGACTAGGAATCACCAACAGAGGAATTTGTACATGGCATCAATAACTTCACGATGTAGGTAATTCAATATCAATTCAGGTAAAATGTAATATTGACCTGTATAAGTCCACCATCATCGGGGTTGTGGAAAGCTAGACGACTCAACATGGCATAAAGTTTACGAATCTGCGTCATTGAACGGTTGTCGAAGTAATCAAGAAATCCCTGAAATTACACAATGATTCAGATATATATTTGTACATAACATTTATATTTACTGTTGCAGATAATTCATGTGCAATACCTGGTATATATATTTAGACATACATAGATTACTAAACGAGTCACGTAAGATACCGTCTTAATAACGAGCGTATTTCAAAACATTTTCCAAAAGCGAAAGAGAGTTAGATACATTTTGAAATAAACTAACTGTATTAAGAACAGTATCTAACAGGGACGGTGTATCAATGATTCATCCATAGGCTGTTCTATCAAGGTACAGCCTGGCAGCTGGCGCCATCATCAATTGTAAGAAACAATGACATGCAGATTCTCAAGTCATGTTCATAATAGCTTAGAAACATCTGCATTCAACATAAAAGTCTAGCTTTAAACGATCTATTTGTTAGGCTTACAAAAATAAAAGAATTGGTTCTCAGGCAGACTTTTGAAAATATAGTGCGGGCAGGTGGTGATTTTTTGGCTTGTTCAAACTAGAATGTCACCAGATAAACAGTTGTGTACCATTAACCTGGGAAAGGGCTCCCTACATAAACAAGCATACAAACTCCTGTTGCCGTCATGACCATAACACGAGATGTAAACCAGTGCGCATGTCAAGGCAAGTAACTGCACACAATATTGGACCGCATTGTTCTTAAGTATTAGGATTTTTTATAAAAAAAATAAAAAATGAAATTAAAAACAAAATGTGTGGCAGCCTTTCTGATGATGTGGGCAGAGCCTGAGAACCAAGACTATTATCTTTTTAGGCTTAATCTGGAATATTTAATTGAGAACTGCTTCATACGAATTAACAAGGTTTCACTTGACAGACAGATTCTCCATGTTTGCCATCCTGAATGTGGATCTCATGCATATTTTCCGTGATATTTTCTGTATAAAAACTAAAGTACTATGAGAAAACTGATCATGATATTGCAGCTAAATTATCATATATTTCTTGGCAGAATGCTAAGCATACTATGAATTGGATCATTTAGATGGTGTTTCTTCCAAATAAGTGTCTATTCCAACCTTGACAAAGATAGCGAAGGGAGCCATGCTGGAGAGATGGTGGTGTACCAGGTCGGAGAGAATGTCCAGAGAGCTGTCGATCTCGCCTGCAAAACCACTGCCGATGTGTGTCACCAGGTTCCCAACAATCTCCTGGAGAGGCAACACAAATGGTTAGTTACACACATATTAAACATCTTTGAAGAAGTTCAAATCATTAGGACTCGATGAGTTCTTGTGGCTTGGATTATGGAGTTACCTCCCCTTTGACCACACATCTAAACTTTTTTACTTCAAACAACAAAAATGCTCCCAGAAAAATTGAAAATATTCTTATAAATTGTGGGTTTTTTTACATTTATCCTATCTCACACTATGCATTTCTTCTTCCTTTTCTCGATCCTTGCGTGCAAACGTCCTAGAACAAAGTTTCCAGCTTCAAAAACACTTCCCAGCATCACCATGGTCACGACCCAAACAAATGGGTCAAACACTACAATCCCGCGTGTTGCAACCCTAAGCGACCTGATTACCTGACATAACCATGATAACCTGCCACATCATTCTCTTTCCGACAGGCTGGCGGAACTGTGAAGAAGCAAAAGTGTAGAAGTCGATATGTTGATAGCTAACCATATGTGAGGGGTATCGATGTCGATCCCAGCTGCAATGTCGATCCCTAGATCCTCTAGATCCTCTGGCAGATGTCGAACTGAATGTCGCTGTGGATCCAAATGTGACCTGTCTTCATGTCCATGGCAATCCGAATGTCGATGGCGATCTGAATGTTCTGATCGACCTTGCTCCTCAGTATGAAGTCAATCCAAATGTCATGTTGATCCGCTTGTCTGATTGAGAGTCCTCCTCAGAGTGATATCGATCCGATGGTCGATGTCAATCCTTCTGCTGCGATCAATCAGGCCCTTGGGTCAATGTTGATCCGACTATCAATCCTTATTATAAGGGTGCGTGAGATCCCAACTTTTTCTTCCTTGTGGAGTAGGCGAGGAAGAGCATGAAACATTGTTCATAGCAGTCGGTGATTGTCCCTGCACAGCCTGGGGGCAGATTTATTCTGTGAGGGATCAGTAATCCCGTCCGCAATTTGTCCATACGTTGCAGTGTGGGAGATGTAGGACGACTCTCATATCTTGTGGTGATTGTCATATCTTGTGTAGAAGATTCATCTTTAGTAAGAACACTGTGATGATCTTCAGTAGCCAATGACGAAACCACTTGGGCGTTGTCAAGGGCACAGGAACCGGGCATGGTGTTAGATTTAGCAGGAATATCTTCATACAGAAAACTATCATACACGGTGTCGCCCTCCACCGATAGCAATGTGATGGTAGACGACTTGGGCTGATTGACCACAGCAACCTGAGAATGGACTGCCTTCTGGGTAACTCTCTTTGGTTTCTGTTTAGGTGAACGCCAGTGTTCTGCGTCTTTAGTGGCAGACTTCGATCGCTCGTCAAGTGTGACACTTGCAAACATAATTATGGAAATCTTCCTTGGATAATTTAGAATACTGTGAACATCGTTGTGATAACTTCACTGACTGGGCCTGCAGTTTTTGCAAGCTGGATGTTCATCCATTGTAATGTGTGCTATAAGAAGTAGTATTTGGCAGAGGAAGATTAATAAACAAAACAAATAATAATTCTCTTTCAACTTTCCCCATACCTTTGCGATGAGAAGAGATTGATGTGGCAAGTTGTGTCAGGTGATCAGGTCACTTAGGGTCACAATGCACAGGATCATAGTGCGGGACCCATTTGTTTTGGTAGTGACCATGGTGATGTTGGGATGAGTTTAGGTAAAATGTTTTTTAAGCTGGAAACTTCTAGTACACTTCCACACCAGGATCAAAAGGAGGAGGACAAAATTCATAGCGTGAGATAGGATTAGTTTAAAAATCTTTAAAAACAACACTCATCGTGATATGCATATTCACATCAAATTGCGTGGCAACTTGGCAGGTTCAAAAGGAAGTCTACTTTGTACATGTTCGTAGCAGCTGTATTTAGTAGTGAAATTGAAACGCTAATTGCAACACATTTTGCAATATTTGAGAGACAACAACGCCAGGCGTCATGAAATGATAAGAAAGTAATATATTTTAGTCTTGTATCGATACAGAAAAAAATCCAGTATCATGCATGGGATAGTCGCATGAAAACTCACCGATGTATCAATGTTGCAGTTAACCTCTAGCATCTGCACCTTTAATTGATACCCCAAAAGTTCAACAATGAGGTTGAGGTGTTTTGCTTACTCTGCAGAAGTAAGGCAACCATGTCAGCATCTTCCCACAGACATTTAGATAGTTAAGACCTTAAAGACGATTATACCTGTTTACAGTAGCTGTCGAACACAGCAAAGGCGTGTCGATACATAGCGGAGGCGAAGTAGCAGATCCCTGGCTCTGGGGACCTCAGTAACACCTCAGCCAGCGACTGCACAGACGGGAAGTACCCTCGCAGGATCTGGAGACAACACGACATGGGGTTTAACTTAACTTATAGAGCTACATGTATGCACTATGTGTTTGTGTGTGTGTGTGTGGCTGCTTGTACTGGTCCAGACGAACGCCGATTGCATAGCAATAGCCCATTGAGATACCATGCTGCAGTTGAACATGAATACCCCACTCAGACACAGTATACTGACTCCGAGCCTACCAGTCCTTGTTTTAGCCCTTTAATGCTGAGTGCCAGACAGGGTAACAACAAGTACCATCTATTAACGTCTTTTGGTACGAAGCAGCCGGGGATCAAACCCTCGACCTTTCGCTCTCCAGGCGGACACTCTACCACTAGACCATGGAAGCGATCACTACACATCTGAACAGGAATAGGACAGCTAGTACTGATTGCCAGGAATGTGGCCCCGTGAAGATTCTGGGTCTTCAGCAACCCATGCTTGTTGTAAGAGGCCACTAACGAGATCAGGTGTTCAGGACTGCTAAATTGCTTGACGTATGTCATTGTATCAAAATTGTGTAGATCGATGCTCATGATGTCAATCACTGGATTGTCTGGTCCAGATTTGATTATATACAGACCTCCATCATATAGCTGGAATATTGCTGAGTGCGGCGTAAACAACAAACAAACGAGGAATGCCCAAGGAATATGAGAGGCAGTGCTGTGTACCCCATGGTACAGGAAAGCAAGAAGTGATGCAGGTCTTAGATGTTTCCCTTTACCATAACCCACCTGAGCATGGTCAGTGAAGGCTGACTGCAGCAGAGGTTCTGTAAATGCCCCTGAACGGATCTTGTTCCTGAAGAGGCTCTCCACTGGCTTCTTGCGGTTCGTGGCGTGGAGAATCAGCAGCACAAAGATGTCAATCACCTTGTGATCAGCTGGGTCCTTCAGGTTGTCGATTGCCTATAATAATAATAATAATAATAATAATAATAATAATAATAATAATAATGATAATAATAATAATAGGCCATTTATATTGGGCTATAAAGCACAGCACTATTATTACCCTGGTTCAGTGGATCAGCGTGCACTTAACAACCATTCTCAGCTCCCTGGGGAGTATACAACCCAAGGTGCATGTGAGGCGCTAGAAGGTTAACAATCAGATTGCCATCTCATCCTACCGGGTACCCACTCACTGCTGGGAATAACAGAGACACATTTCGAACAAAGTCACTTGCCCAAGGAGACACCACATGTGTTACCACAAGTATGTATCTCACTGATGTGTACATCCAAACATTCCCTGAAATATGGAACACAACTTTGCCTCTAAGGCACTACCTTTATCCAAGCTTCGGACACAGTTTTCTGGAAGCGAATGCCGGACTTGATGGCATCCAATGTCAGTGCTTCGTTCCCCTTCTCCACACTGCCATCTGACGCTGTCCTACAACACAAGACACCCATTACATGCAGTTCACCAAGTGTCAGCAGTGTGTCCCATGTGAGAGTAATGACACTATTTATGCATCACTCCCTTCTCTGCCTGTCCTCAATCATTTCGTGTATTTATAGCCATCTTGTTGTGACAAATACCTTGGTCCCATTCACCACGACAGCTTCATTCTCCCATCTTCCTCCTCACTAACTTATAGCACAGAAATTCTCCCTCTCATCCGCATAATTTGACTGGACTGCTATGTTTTAGCATCCTGTCATTCAAATCGGGCTCGAAATGAAGCTATGGTGATGAAGGGGTCCAGTATATTCATCATAGTAGAACAGGGATTACACTGGACAATGGATGTTGCTCTCCACCATCCACAGTACTTGTCTCAGAATAATCAGAGTTATCTCCCCTTAGACCATATCTTCAAGTTCCCAGATGTTGCCATTGCTTTTTTCATTAATTTTCTTGTTTTCATAAATTTGACTCAATCTTTATCAAACTTTTTATAATCTTTGCCAAAATATATATTGTAAGAATTGAGCCATTACTACTTGAAAATTATCCACTTTATCATTAATAAATGGTTTCAGTCTAGGAAGAAGACATATCTGCTAATAGATTCTTGCTTGATATAAATTACTTCTCTCACCTCTTTTTCATCTTGTCTTTTTTGCTGGACTTGCTTGGGGTAGCAGGTAAAGGTTTAAAATCAATGCTTGCTCGAATTTCCGTTACAATCTGTTGAAAGTTGAAATAGATAAACTGGATGATGGATGCATTTTGTAATATATCTACGGAAATAGATATGCATGTTAACAATCAAGATATTAAATATGTCATCAATAATTTGGTGTGTGATTGGGCACAACAAAACATGTCTGCTACCTCTAGTGAATCCTTGAATGTGACTGTCTGCAAACAACCAAACACGTCTGCTACCGCCAGGGAATCCTACAGTGTGACTGTCTGCACACAGCTAAACACGTCTGCTACCTCTAGTGAATACACCAGTGTGACTGTCTGCACACAACTAAACACGTCTGCTACCTCTAATAAATCTGACAGTGTGACTGTTCGCACACAACCAAACACGTCTGCTACCTATAGTAAATCTGTCAGTGTGACTGTTCGCACACAACCAACAACGTCTGCTACCTCTAGTAAATCTGACAGTGTGACTGTTCGCACACAACCAACCACGTCTGCTACCTCCAGTAAATCCAACAGTGTGACTGTCTGTGCCAACTAAACACGTCTGTTACCTCAAGTGAATCCTGCGGTGTGACCGTCTGGAGTAGAAACTTGACCACCACAGGGAGATCATCCATCTCGACAGAGGACAATGTCTGCAGAACAGAACCTCGCACCTACACAAAGAAACATCATAGTTACAACAGTGATGAAGTTTTTCTGACAAATTCTTTATTCATTTCAGATTCAACATTTAAATTCATTTTATAACAGACTTCTGTTTGTTCCTTGACTCATCATCCAATAATACGGACATGTACTGCAGTACAGATAGGATGTAATGTTTGGTGGCAGGGCAGGGAATTGAAGTGTTTAATGCTGCAGTAAGACGTTTCAGCTATACCACAGTGGTCTGTAACTAATCAAGTCTCAACCTGACAAACCCGTGAATGAGAGGACGAGCATCGATCCACGCATTGGGATACAATGACATCCAGTCAGTCACAGAGCCTGATAACGTGTTCCTCTTTATCCTGGGAAGGAACAAGCATGGGCTACTGGGGACCTTATCTTCCCCGGAATCCCCGGGAGTGTGGAATGTTCGGGAGATTACAGACACATACAATCAGAATTTGACCTTATTGAAAGACTGTGAAAGTTCTTTCAAATACCAACTATCAATAATTATTGTGTAAGTTAATATTGAGCCATACCTCGGCTAGAAGTTCTGGTTTCAAGGCCAGGTTGGATAAAGCATCAAGAATCGGAACTGTCATTTGGTTGCCTTGTAGAAGAATATCACTGAAAGTATCAATATTACCTATGAAGATATCATAATCTTACATCACAACAATCTTACTTATCTTTAACCTTTTTCCACATGAACAACATGTCAATGTATCCTATGAACACATGTTTCGAACATTGTGACAGTTTCTACAGCAAGTAGTCGAAGCCTTATTCTCATAAGCTAGGCCCATGTGTGAGAAGTAAATCTGATGAAAGTGATGGGAAAGGACAAGTTAGGGTGAGTTGACTCACAGGTTTTTAGCACTGACAGTATTCAAATTACTCTGGAAACTGCTGGAACAGTGTTTCCATTCAGTTACAAGTACACTGGTTCTCTGGAACGGAAGCACTAATAGTGGAAAGTTCAATATTTTAGACTGATGGGGTTAAATTTACCAGTACATGGCCTAATATACAGGTAAATTACTCCCAATTACTGGTAAACAGAAACACTTTGAAAGTCTTTATCTGGAACAAACTGTACTTCAGTTGAAACCTTCAGGCAAAGGACAGATTAGAACTCCTACCTGAGAGCTTTAGCCACATCACCATGTTCTGTGTCCTCCACCACTTCAGGCAGACACAGGATTATCTCCCTTTGTACATCAGGTGAGCTGATGTCTATCATTTCTAACATTTTAGTTGTTAGCTCCTGAAAATGAAATACATTTAAGGCATACTGTAAACAAAGAGTGAAATAATCAGTATATGAGCTATATATCCAGGTCTTGATAACATTATTTTATATTTCAATTTATTACTCGCCCGTGAAGAGATCACCCTTTTAACAACAATAAACTGGTAATACACAACATCCGTTCTGTTCAACAGGAATTCTGAGGTGTTGATAACTGTTGAAAGATAAGTACAGTAGCAGCAGCAAGGGTAAATATTCTTGCATCATTTTGTCCTTAAAGAAATACAAGGCTCAGATCAAATGACAGCCTGCACAAGACAGCAAATGAGTGAGTGTCTGGGCTTAACACATCTTTAAACAGTATTCCAGTTATATCACAGCATGTCAGATTAATGTAGTAGGAAAGCCCAAATTGATGCAGGTCTCAGACATTTACCACTTAAAACCCATGAGCATGGGTATGGAGCCAAAGATGACTGGCCACCGTGACCACCCACCCGCACCCCACACTCCAATGTCATAGTGTATATTACAGTTGCTACCCATGTTACTAAGAGTCAATGTCCCAATCTCACACTCAGCACTCAGTGTCTGGCAGCGGTAACCAGGACAGTCAGCATCATTGCTTTAAACTTCATTTCCATATCACTGAACCAAAACCAGGTAGATAACAGGACATCAGGTACTTCACAGATTATTACTGTACAACCAACTGCTGACATGTATATAAATATTATCAGTGTTACCCATGTAAATAGAGACTGTAGTTACAGCCACAAGAACCATGACGTACCTTACAGTTGACGATTCTGTCCAGCCACCGGAACTGGCTGAGGAGGACTCGGGGGATGAATATCTTCTCTCCATTCTCAAACACAAAACTGGAAGGGGACATAATGATAAGAACTAAAGTATGGGTAGAAGCCATGATGGAATGATGGGACATGGCTGAATACTCTGATCATTACAGCACACGTTTTGGAACAAGACTTCTATCTACAGGATCAGTGAATTAAACATACTGCACACAATCAAGATCCTTTGTCACACAGTTTGAACATGTTTGTGTGAGGAAACGATATAAATAGAGTCCCACATCAGACTCAGCATGTCCCATTGTCGTAGCAATTAAAACAGAAAGCTAATTTTGGATGTTCAAAATATGTAGGCAATATTCAAACTCTGTCCAAACACTCATCTGGGATTTATCTAGGATTCCAGGGTAAGTGCTCTTTGCAGGCAAATTGGACAAAAATGACTTTGTTTAAAAGTAGGATTTTACTTAAGTCCTTATTTTCCTAAATTCAGAGGTATGTTAACATTGAATTTTAACATTGCATTTAATGCTAGAATGTTAAAATATGCATTTAAGTCTGTTCTTCAGTATTGGTCCTGTTATAAGTGAAATACAAGTCACCTTAGGCCATAACATCAGTTATAAATAAAGCAGCATGAATTGGGAAATGTTTAATTCCAACTTGGGAATTCTTACAGACATTTACTGCCGTATATTAGGGCCGTATATTGGCCTCTGAACAGATAAATGCCTGCTCATTCCTGATTACCAGTATATGATGATTTTCATCATGCATGCACAGCAAAGTTTGTACATATATTAATACTTATTGTAAATTTCTTAAATTTGATGAAAAATATTTAAATCTTTGAATCCGACAACTGAGAGCACCATTACTGCCAAGTCAAGTCTACAGAGCTTGGTGATAGCCATACTACAGTGTGTGGACACTACACACTTACTCCTCATCCCCCATGAACAGCGGCAGCTTCTCCAGCAGCAGCTTCATCACCTTGGACTGCAACATCAACGTCAACTCTTACACACAGCACAGTAGTGAAAGCCGGCTTTTAATATATACCCAAACGATACATTAATTATCAGAGGGAAGCACTTAACACTGCCTCAACAGTTGTCTAGTCCAAACACTCGGGTCTGTTTTAAAAGTTGGCATTAGAACTCACATAGCCAGAAAGTTCAGCAGATAATTTCTTGTTTTGAGCAGAAATGCGTTCCTCTTCATTTTAATCAAAACATATCAAGAGGTGCTCACATATCAGTGGCACACTTCATTCATGTATCAAAATATGTGTTAAGGTGTGAAATTATCAAACATACCAACCTGCAAAATATCAATTCCTAAAAGAATTTTCACCATGCTGTCTTGTACAGGATATCTTGCACTGAAAACACAAAAAGCATTGTCACTGAAATCATCTAACAGAGTTCTGAAAAAGTTTCATTACAAAACAGTGCCTCAGCCAATCAAAACGTAATCTTTTGTGGAAAAGGGAAGTATCAATACCAGTGTTTTATATTTGTGAAACCCTCTATCTATACCGGCCCACCTGTCACACTCCTGGGCTGTGTGGGTCGCCATTACACTCTTGCTTAGTCTGAAAGTAAAACAATGATTCCATCAGTCATCAGTTGATCACATTCATCATCAGCGGTACAGAGGAGAGAACATGGAATCTCACTCTAAACATGAGTGAGTGTTTGATTGGTTAATGTTTAACGCCGCACTCAGCAATATTCTAGCTATATGACTGGGTCTGTAAATAATTGAATCTTGAACAGACAATCCAGTGATCGACATCATGAGCATTGATCTACACAATTGGGATACAATGACATCCATCAACCAAGCCAGTGAGCCTGACCACCCAATGCCGTTATTTGCCTCTTAAAACAATCATAGTCTCCATTTACAGCAAGCATGGGTTGAGTGAGTGAGATGGGTTTAATGCCACTTTGAACAATATTCAATGCTTGTCGGCTTAATGTTTGAGGAAAGTTCGAAGTGATGCAGGTCTTAGACGTTTACCACTTTGGTGAAACCCAAGAGCATGGGTATGATGCTGACAAACCCAGAACCAGAAATCAAACCCACGATCATAGGTTCCTGGCATGCCCAAGGGCCACAACTCTGCACTGTGTATTGTGGCACCTTTGACTAATAGGGCACCTAAACATATCGCTATGGTATTTTTTCCCATATCTCCATGGCAACATTTAATTGGAAATTCATATTTTCATAAAATGTGCAAAAGTAGACTTTCAATGATAACAATTCTGTACCAGTTCATGTTGGAGGTAATTTAGATTTTTCTCTGGGATTAAAAATGACACATAATAATCATTGCCTTAATATAAATGTTGATCATCACTGTAAACATCCGAAGTAACACTAGAACTTGCAGGGGTTGACTTAACTGTGATCCTTGCAGGTCGGTAGTAGTTTATCCTTGCAGGTTGGTAGTAGTTTATTGATATGCTAATTCATATCTAGCAACTGCCAATGTTAACAGAGGCGCCAACACATAGTCTCACGGAGAGCCATGAGCGCAAGTAAGTTCATTTCCCTTTAATCTATCCAGGCAATTGTATGGCACTTTAACTTCAGATGTGTTTTTTGAAAGATGTCAGAACATGTCACTAAGGAAACCAGATGAGCCTGAAACTTATAATCAAATCAAGGGAGATAACTCCACCAGCAATGTTTGTCTGCTTGTTTGTTGTTTAACATCGCTCTCAGCAAATTTCTAGCTATATGACAGCGGTTTGTAAATAATTGAGTCTGGACATGACAATCCAGTGATTGAAATCATGAACATCGATCCACGAAAACTGGGATACGATGACATGCATCAAACCAAGTCAGCGAGCCTGACCACCCGATCCCGTTAGTCGCCTCTTACGACAATCACCGGCAGTGAAACTACAAAGGTTTCTGTATGACAATCACAAGGTGTAAAGTGGGACTGCCAAGTATTTGAATGATAATCATGGTGAACATATTTGTTAACTCACCTGTGAGTGTCTTCAATGTAAGTCTCGAATCCTTCTAAGAAGTCTTCCACAACCTGAGAAACATGACACACATCAGTGAATGTTCAACTGTGAAAGAATATTTACGAAAATTAAGGCTAAAAAAAACCCTATAGTCTTGGTTCTCAGGTACAGCCCGCATCATCATAAAGTCTGTCTCACATTTCATTTATATTTCTTTTCTTTTTTTTACAAATATTAAATCCCAATACTTAAAACAATGCGATCCAAAATAGCACGCAGTCACTTCCCTTTGTTATGGTAATGGCGGCAATAGGAGTTTGTATGCTTGTTGATGTAGGGAGGCCCTTTCCTAGGTTGATTTTGGTTTTATACTAGTTTGAATAAAAACAAAAAACACTGCCCACTCGCACGATATTTTCAAAAGTCATTGCCTGAAAAACGATTCTTTAATTTTTTTAGATAGAATTTACTTTGTAAGCAGCCTGAATATGATGATGCTGGAACTGAACGTTGCAGAAATAATCAGACCTACCGCTGGGTAGTCATTGTGTCTCTTGACACTCAGCATCAAATCTCTCTGAAACACAGCCTGGTCCACGGCTGAAACAGGGCAAAAATATTAACATCAAAATATTTAAAGCAAATGTTATTTAAAGATCATATACAGACAGCTAACAAATTCTCAAGCTCAAAGTACATATTATAACCAGGTCTGCTGGGTTACAATGAATCTCACCAACACTCAATATTCATGATGAGAGCTTTTGCCAGTATTCAAGCACCGCTTGGGACACGAAACTGGACTTCACACACCATACTATTCATACAGTCAGTATGAGAACTCACTAAGTTCGTTGTTAGAATGGCCATCTTTCAGAACAAATCCAGCATTCACTATCAGCTCTGTAAACACAGACTTCTCTGTGTAGACATCTGTTGATTTCTTCTTCTTGCTCGACTGAGCTGAAACATCAAATCCATGTTTTAATATTTGATGAATCGATATGCATTAACACAAAATGAAGTCTATCATGTAACAAGCATGAAATACTCATATCCCCCGCCAATAAGACAAGGTTGTGTGCAAGGCAAGAAATATTGTTCGGTTTTCAAGATCTGCTCCGGGAACGAGCACTACCGCCATTTTTAGTCTTAAATACAATAATCCCAAACTATCAAAAGGCACCAGTTCACCACTAGACCTACCTATGTGCCAAGTTTGGTTAAGATATCTCATGGTTTTTAAGTTCTGCTCTGGAAACAAAACGCGACGGACAGAACCTATTCCTGTATCCCCTTCCACTTAATGGCGGGGCATAATAATAGCACATTGCATCATAGTGCAATCATGAATCAGTTTGGGGAGTCTTATGAGAACTGTCAGATTTTAAGCCACTGAAATGAACTACAGCCAGTGTAGATTGCAGACACTGTACTAAACCATGGTCCCTCGATATTGGTAGGAAGTCACTGCATCATCGTGATCATTTACAATAATATATACAGTTGCCTACCAACTGAGATTTATTTGTACAATGTCACGCTCAGCAATATTCCAGCTGTATCAAACCAATGACTGATATCATGAGCAACGTTGATTGAGTACAATGACACACAATCAGCAAAGTCACCAAGCCTGACCCCCAAATCCATGTGATCTACTCTTCAGACAAGCATCAGTAGCTGGGGACCAATTCTAACCTGGAATCACCACAGGGCCTGGAGTCAGGTAGGCATGTATTAATGGCAGACATCCATTGGAATTATATGCATCAGTTATTAAGGTTACCAGAGGTGGGTGGTGAAACAGGATAAGAAAAGTTTAAACAAAACAAATACTGGTAAAGATGTCAGCTATTCCTTGTGAACAGAAACGGAAAACAAAACAAATACTGGTAAAGATGTCAGCTATTCCTTGTGAACAGAAACGGAAAACAAAATGACACATGATCAAAAAGCTACAGATTTTACCCGAGGAATCACTGTTTTTCCTTTTTCCTTTCTGCATGATGTTTCTTCATTAATGTTCACACCAACCCAAGATGGCCGAGGGGAGAATCTACAAATACAAACTTAGAATAAATAATCAAACATGGCAAATGTAAAATACATGCCTTGTGATGCCTGTACCTAAGTACTTGCTATACATTTGTGTAATTTAAGTAAAAGAAATTACAAATTTTACAGGTTTTCTAACTACACAAATTATATATGACTAATTCCACAAGAGACTTGGTCACATATGATACAATTGTTTGTTTGTTTGATTGTTGTTTAACGCCGCACTCAGCAATATTCCAGCTATATGATGACAGTCTGTAAATAATCAAGTCTGGATCAAACAATACAGTGATTGACATCATGAGCAACGACCCACGCTATTGGGATACGATGACATGCATCAGCCAAGTCAGCCAGCCTGACCGTTAGTCGCCTCTTACAACAAGCATAGTTGCCTTTTACAGCAAGCATGGGTTGCTGAAGACCTATTCTACCCCGGATCATCACGGGTCACATGGTACATTTAAATGGACACACGTCAAAACAGCATGAAAATAATTCCTTGGTTTCCATTTAATATTTATTTCATTTTAATAAAGATGAGGAATACAGAAAATAAACATGTTTTAGGCTGGTTTTATATGTCTAATCTGAACAATCCATTGTGGATGTTTTTAAGTATTTCATATTTTTTTACCCTGGGTGACCTGACATGTTTTATGAATCCAGGAATGGTTTCATTCAGATTGGTTAACATTATTTTTTTATTGCATTGATGTATTTTACTTTCCAATTAGAATAGACTACACGTGTACACACCTCATTTTTGACAGGTATAGGATTTTTTTTACACATCTCACCTGTATATATCAGGACATGAGTTTCGTTAACAACATTCAATATAACATACATTGGCGACTGTACAGGTCTAAACCCAACGTCAGAACAACGTATAGTCATACTATATAACTGCAAATCACTTATCACTTTATATGGTAACAAATGCATGACTGACAGTAGAAGCATGTGTTAAGATTATCTCTGTTGGTAACAGTTCAATAACAGTAGGCTATAGACCAAGTCACTATCAGCTGCATTTGAAGCGGTGTCTAAATATCTCTCCCACACATCTATAAGCATCGTTATTAGAACTATCGTCCAGATAACCGTTTCAAAATACATTGGCAAAAATAGCAGATAAGATGTCATCAATGTTACTCTGCAAATTACACACGTTTTGTTACCCGAAAGTGTCTATTTCACAAGTGTTGAATTCTTATTTCCCGCCATGTTTGTTTACGAAATACTTGCTGTATGATGTCCCTAACAACTAGTGTTATTTGAGAAACTTCAACAGTCTTCTGTTGGTAGATACTACGCAATCGTTTTAGTACATGTGAACAAATATCTAAAGTGCCTGAAATAGTTTTCTGTTTGGGACAGGTGATGTATGTTTTATTAATGAAGATAGACGCAGATGAAGATACGACATTGCACCAAACGAAAATCTCAATTTATCTCCAATTTATGGAATTCGATAAGGCTAAAACAACACCACTTTTATGTGGATAAAACATACTGTATTCTATTTATAAGATATCCAGGATTGACAATAAACTGTAGGGTGGTTAGCAGTATTTCTTTCCCCCTGATTATAAAATTTAAGCTTTGTATAAGTCTATTGTGAAACAAAGTGTTAGCTCTTCAGTCAATATGGTGCATACCATTATTTGGAGCTTCAAATTGATTTCCTTTTAGAAACTTTTAGCAGTTATCTTTTTGTGTTCACTATATTTATCGTGACATATCACAACATCCTCAAATGTTTTCTGTTTGGTCATCTGTCCGTTATCTCTCAAAGTGTCTCTCTGGTTAAGGACACTTTTAGAGCAAAACATATATATTTTCCATGAAAATATCCAAATCTTCATCCATCCGGACTGTTCCATTCTAATAACAAGAAAACCAAGCATTTCAGCGGTCCACTGAAAATTCATAAACCCAAACACAGTTTCTTAGTATTATTAAGTATTATACCCATTATATATTCATTATCTGTTTACTTCAGTGATAACGGCGCGGGGGTTCCATGTTAGTATTAATTCACAGCAACCTGTGTTTGTCGTAAGGAGGACTTGGTGGATCGGGTGATCAGGCTCGGTGATTTGGTAAATAGCGCTTCATCATTGATCGTTGCTCACAACATCAGTCACTGGATTGTGTTGTTCAGACTCGATTACTTACAGACCGTCGCCATATAGCTGTGATATTGGTGAGTGAGGCTTTAACAACAAACCTTCAGTGATGTACCTAACTATATAAATATATAACCATGAATGTACATCCGCATACATACACAGACACTTACAATTACATTCGCACCCTGCCCCATCCCTGTGCCCCTCCCACCTCCCAGACCGCCGTCCTCTAACTGGAATATTGCTGTGTGCGGCGTTAAACAACAAACAAAACACACAAAATAGCATAAGTTCTCTTCCATTATGTTTAATACTCTTATTCCTTGTTCAAGGTCACTGTCAAGATCCCGTTTTTATTAACCGTTATTTTAGTTTCCATTTTATTATAATAACACGTAGATAATGTCTGGCACGACCTTTAACCTATAAACAACTGAACATGTCTGTCATACCAATATTTCAAAGCTTCACGTTACTTTAAAATTTGACTTTTTCCAGTGCGTTTGAAAAGACCCTTATCCCACCTCGTTCGCTTAAAATGATATAAAAATGACAAAATCGACACCAAAAATATGGATAATAACTTCTGTATTATAGTGTAATAGCGACGTTTCAGTACAGATCTTTATACCGTTGTCAAGCAGGACTGGATAATGAACATGATAAAGAATTATGTAAAGGATTATCACCAGCATTCGCCAGGGGGATTAACCTGAGTAGGTTAACTAATAACAACAGAAAGAAAATATGGTAACAACATGATTGACAAAGAACACACGACAATGAAGCCAATTAAATAATTCAGTACCATGTTCATTATTCAGTCTTGCTTGACAACGATATACAGATCTATACCGAAACGACGCTATTACAGCATCACAGAGAAGTTATTCTCTTCCTTGTGTGTATCACTTCTAAATGCCATTGGAAGACTTCATAAATTATCCATATTTTGGGGTCTACTTTGTCTTCCGTCAACTACTGAGAAATGCCTATCACACAACTGATCAGATAATGTGTTTGTATAAGTTGTCCAGCAGACAGGACACACGTCGAACCACGCATCGTGACTTTGACAGGTAATCACAACGGCAATATTTCTCTTCCAGTGTGGAGTAAACAATTTGCCATAAACTGTTGTCTTTAATACATTGAACAAAGCAGCTTATGTGTGTAACAAATACACTAAAAGAGCAACAGATCAAGAATAGAGTAAACGGGATTGAACAGATTATTAAAACCGATATAGCCATAACAATCAACAGAAGGTTTTCAAATCATTTCTTAAAATAACTAGTTTTTCCGAAAGTAGCAGTATTTAAACTCCTCTCGGAGGAAAACATCCCCAGCCAATGATCAGTAGGTCCGATGACCTCACCTTTGAACTTTCAGGTCAGCACAAGAAATGTCAGCATGCGGGAAGAGATTCTTGTTCGCCTTGATAGTATTTTGAAACGTTAACTATTTTTGAGCTTTTAGAAGCAATTTGACATCTTATGCATATATGCTCTTACCAGCTTGATACTGCACTGAATGAAAAGACTTGCCAAGAGGTAAGTTATGTTTATAAGTAAAGAAAACACAAGTTGTTGATATCTAGCACTTATTTAGTTGGTGACACTAAAAAAATGATCTAGATCTAAGTCATGTAGAAATGATTATATTTTTTTAATAGGGTGTACATTCATTAGTTAGTTGGAACTGAAACTGATTCAGCTATTTTCTTAATTTGTCATGTCTTTATAGTTTATATTTACTCACTGAAGTGACATCATTGCAAAAAGAAAATGATTGACACTGACAGTACATTTAAAAAAAGTATTTTTTAATGTTTCAGATTGATAATATTTTCAAAGTGAAACTTATTAACTTACCACTGCTGTCATTTGTATATATCCTTGTTGCTTGTTGTGTTGGTATTAATTCTCTGTGTGGGATGCAGGACAACCTTTACGTGAACGAGTCTTGATATGCATTAATGTTCATGTATGATTTTGAGGCTGTCCCATTTGAAGTGGTATGTTATATTTCAGTTTGTGTGTTGTTAATTTCGCACTCAGCAATACTGCAGCAATATGACATCTTATTAATATTCATGTCTAGAGCAGACAATACAGAAATTGATTTAAGATTAACCATCTCACACTGTAAACATAGATCGATATACATCTCCTTGTATACCCCTGAAGACCTGGGTTAGACTAGGTCTTCAGCAACCCATGTTTGCCGTAACAGCCGACTGTGCTTGTCGTAAGAGGCGACTAATGGGATCGGGGGGTCAGTCTCACTCACATGGTTGATGTATGTCATCATATCCCAATTGCATGGATCGATGCTCATGATGTCAATCACTGGATTGTCTCATCCAGACATGATTTTTCTACAGACCGCCGTCATATAGCTGTAACATTGTTGAGTGTGATGTTAAACAAACAAACAAACATCTTCTTGCACTTAACAAACATTATGCTAGATGAATGACAATAATTCACAAAACAATTTGCATTTGGTTGTTGTTGTTGTTGTTGTTTTTTTAAAACATTTCACCAATTTTTGTATTTTAAGGTTAAATATTTAGTATGCTTCCAAAAGTGCCGGCGTGTAACCCTACACCCTACCTCTTTGGATCCGTGTATGTACCAGGCCCGATTTAACTACTGGTATATAAACCGTGCACCAGTGCAGCCTGTTATTGAAAAGTGCAACCTAATATGTATGTCTAGATCTATATGCCCCAAGTGCATATAAAACACATTCAATTCTGTGTCTGACTTACCCTTACTTTTCTACCCAACATTGATTTTTGAACTCACTCAAAACCTTTAAGCTTTACAAACCATCCTACACCACTAGTTTTGTGTAACTTGTCCTTTGTTCTTGGGCGTGATGTCATCAAGGTGTGGGTACTTCAAGATTATGTGCACATAATCCTGTAACGTTTTACAGCAATACATCATTTATTTATGTAAAATTGTGATACAGTCGTCAGAGATTTTATTTATTTAGACTACCGTAGTTAATGCATCTATGTTTCGACTTTGATAAATTTATGGGACCAGTGTGCAACCTGGTTTTGTCCGGTGCAACCTGGTTTTGTCCGGTGCAACTGGGTTTTCATGTCAACATGCACCTGGTGCAACTATGTTTTTTTTGGTCAACATGCACCTGGTGCAAGTTAAATCAAGTTCCTTAAATCGTGCCCTGTATACCAAGACGCACAGTCAACTATGTCATTGAACCTGACCACCAGATCCAAGTTGTCGCCCCATAGGACAGGTATAGGTTACTGGTGACCTATTCTAACCCAGACTCCCAACAGGGGGGCTTCCAAATTGTTATCTGAGTCTCTTTAAAAACATAACCAGTTGACGTTCAAGACATACTTTTTCCTTTCAAAGCTGGAATTCCTGTTTTTATCTGTTTCCAGAAAATCAAACAATGAGCATGTCTTAATACCTCTCAAATCCCGAGTGTAAGTGCAGATTGGGCCCCAGATTAACATATCAAGTTGCCCCTTTGGTTTCAACACCCGGGATGAATCATCTATATACTTTCTCAATGTCTGGAGATTATCAGATAAGCCAAGCTTCTCTCAAGTGCGAAAGTCCTCTCGTTACAAGAGCTCAGTTGATGTCCATTCCTGCATCATGTGTGAGGTGCCTTTATGTGATAGGAGAGAGGCTAATTCAAATGTTTGAGGGCTTGTTTTCATAACAAGGATGGTGTGTAGGGGGATGCTGAATGAGCATGTCTGGAGTTGTCTGGGGGATAATGCAGTCAGTCGAATGTGTGTGGGATTCAGGGGCTCTAGAGCAGGTACTTGTTATTAATGGGCATGTCTAGTGTATAGGTTAATGTAGCATGTGCCAGTTACTGTGGGACGTGGGTGATACTGCTTCAGTGGACATTCAGTATGTTCTTTCAACCCGAGCTTCATTCATATTTGTCTCAGACAGGGTTCTGTAGTCTGTCTTTCAGACCCTGATACAAATATATCAAATACAGCCCATGCAAGTCTATAATGTTTGGCAAGTCTAGATTACTGCAGTATCTGAAAATGAAGAGAGTCTCTGGGCTCCTTTTTATTATATTTTAATAAAGATAATTTAACAACTT